CCTGTATAGCGTTCATTTACATAGTCCCCCTGTATAGCGTTCATTTACATAGTCCTCCTGTATAGCGTTCATTTATATAGTCCCCCTGTATAGCGTTCATTTATATAGTCCTCCTGTATGGCGTTCATTTATATAGTCCCCCTGTGTAGCGTTTATTTATATAGTCCCCCGCATAGCGTTCATTTATATAGTCCCCCGTATAGCGTTCATTTATATAGTCCCCCTGTATAGCACTCATTTATATAGTCCCCCTGTATAGCGTTCATTAATATGGTCCTCCTGTATAGCGTTCATTTACATAGTCCCCCTGTATAGCGTTCATTAATATAGTCACCCTGTATAGCACTCATTTATAAAGTCCCCCTGTATAGCGTTCATTTATATAGTCCCCCTGTATAGCGTTCATTAATATAGTCCCCCTGTATAGCGTTCATTTATATAGTCCCCCTGTATAGCGTTCATTTACATAGTCCCCCTGTATAGCGTTCATTTATATAGTCCCCCTGTATAGCGTTCATTTACATAGTCCCCCTGTATAGTGTTCATTTATATAGTCCCCCTGTATAGCGTTCATTTATATAGTCCCCCTGTATAGCGTTCATTAATATGGTCTCCCTGTATAGCGTTCATTTATATAGTCCCCCTGTATAGCGTTCATTTATATAGTCCCCCTGTATAGCGTTCATTTACATAGTCCCCCTGTATAGCGTTCATTTATATAGTCCCCCTGTATAGCACTCATTTATATAGTCCCCCTGTATAGCACTCATTTATATAGTCCCCCTGTATAGCGTTCATTTATATAGTCCCCCTGTATAGCGTTCATTTATATAGTCCCCCTGTATAGCGTTCATTTATATAGTCCCCCTGTATAGCACTCATTTATATAGTCCCCCTGTATAGCGTTCATTAATATGGTCCTCCTGTATAGCGTTCATTTATATAGTCCCCCTGTATAGCGTTCATTTACATAGTCCCCCTGTATAGCGTTCATTTACATAGTCCCCCTGTATAGCGTTCATTAATATGGTCCTCCTGTATAGCGTTCATTTATATAGTCCCCCTGTATAGCGTTCATTTATATAGTCCCCCTGTATAGCGTTCAATTACATAGTCCCCCTGTATAGCGTTCATTTATATAGTCCCCCTGTATAGCGTTCATTAATATGGTCCTCCTGTATAGCGTTCATTAATATGGTCCTCCTGTATAGCACTCATTTATATAGTCCCCCTGTATAGCGTTCATTTATATAGTCCCCCTGTATAGCGTTCATTTATATAGTCCTCCTGTGTAGCGTTTATTTATATAGTCCCCCGCATAGCGTTCATTTATATAGTCCCCCTGTATAGCGTTCATTTACATAGTCCCCCTGTATAGCGTTCATTTACATAGTCCTCCTGTATAGCGTTCATTTATATAGTCCCCCTGTATAGCGTTCATTTATATAGTCCTCCTGTGTAGCGTTTATTTATATAGTCCCCCGCATAGCGTTCATTTATATAGTCCCCCGTATAGCGTTCATTTATATAGTCCCCCTGTATAGCACTCATTTATATAGTCCCCCTGTATAGCGTTCATTAATATGGTCCTCCTGTATAGCGTTCATTTACATAGTCCCCCTGTATAGCGTTCATTAATATAGTCACCCTGTATAGCGTTCATTTACATAGTCCCCCTGTATAGCGTTCATTTACATAGTCCTCCTGTATAGCGTTCATTTATATAGTCCCCCTGTATAGCGTTCATTTATATAGTCCTCCTGTGTAGCGTTTATTTATATAGTCCCCCGCATAGCGTTCATTTATAGAGTCCCCCGTATAGCGTTCATTTATATAGTCCCCCTGTATAGCACTCATTTATATAGTCCCCCTGTATAGCGTTCATTAATATGGTCCTCCTGTATAGCGTTCATTTACATAGTCCCCCTGTATAGCGTTCATTAATATAGTCACCCTGTATAGCACTCATTTATATAGTCCCCCTGTATAGCGTTCATTTATATAGTCCCCCTGTATAGCGTTCATTAATATAGTCCCCCTGTATAGCGTTCATTTATATAGTCCCCCTGTATAGCGTTCATTTACATAGTCCCCCTGTATAGTGTTCATTTATATAGTCTCCCTGTATAGCGTTCATTTATATAGTCCCCCTGTATAGCACTCATTTATATAGTCCCCCTGTATAGCGTTCATTTATATAGTCCCCCTGTATAGCACTCATTTATATAGTCCCCCTGTATAGCGTTCATTTATATAGTCCCCCTGTATAGCGTTCATTTACATAGTCCCCCTGTATAGTGTTCATTTATATAGTCTCCCTGTATAGCGTTCATTTATATAGTCCCCCTGTATAGCGTTCATTTATATAGTCCCCCTGTATAGCGTTCATTTACATAGTCCCCCTGCATAGCGTTCATTTATATAGTCCCCCTGTATAGCGTTCATTAATATGGTCCCCCTGTATAGCGTTCATTTATATAGTCCCCCTGTATAGCACTCATTTATATAGTCCCCCTGTATAGCGTTCATTTACATAGTCCCCCTGTATAGCGTTCATTTACATAGTCCTCCTGTATAGCGTTCATTTATATAGTCCCCCTGTATAGCGTTCATTTATATAGTCCTCCTGTATGGCGTTCATTTATATAGTCCCCCTGTGTAGCGTTTATTTATATAGTCCCCCGCATAGCGTTCATTTATATAGTCCCCCGTATAGCGTTCATTTATATAGTCCCCCTGTATAGCACTCATTTATATAGTCCCCCTGTATAGCGTTCATTAATATGGTCCTCCTGTATAGCGTTCATTTACATAGTCCCCCTGTATAGCGTTCATTAATATAGTCACCCTGTATAGCACTCATTTATAAAGTCCCCCTGTATAGCGTTCATTTATATAGTCCCCCTGTATAGCGTTCATTAATATAGTCCCCCTGTATAGCGTTCATTTATATAGTCCCCCTGTATAGCGTTCATTTACATAGTCCCCCTGTATAGCGTTCATTTATATAGTCCCCCTGTATAGCGTTCATTTACATAGTCCCCCTGTATAGTGTTCATTTATATAGTCCCCCTGTATAGCGTTCATTTATATAGTCCCCCTGTATAGCGTTCATTTATATAGTCCCCCTGTATAGCACTCATTTATATAGTCCCCCTGTATAGCGTTCATTTATATAGTCCCCCTGTATAGCGTTCATTTATATAGTCCCCCTGTATAGCGTTCATTTACATAGTCCCCCTGTATAGCGTTCATTTACATAGTCCTCCTGTATAGCGTTCATTTATATAGTCCCCCTGTATAGCGTTCATTAATATGGTCCTCCTGTATAGCGTTCATTTATATAGTCCCCCTATATAGCGTTCATTTACATAGTCCCCCTGTATAGCGTTCATTTATATAGTCCCCCTGTATAGCACTCATTTATATAGTCCCCCTGTATAGCGTTCATTTATATAGTCCCCCTGTATAGCGTTCATTTATATAGTCCCCCTGTATAGCGTTCATTTATATAGTCCCCCTGTATAGCACTCATTTATATAGTCCCCCTGTATAGCGTTCATTAATATGGTCCTCCTGTATAGCGTTCATTTATATAGTCCCCCTGTATAGCGTTCATTTACATAGTCCCCCTGTATAGCGTTCATTTACATAGTCCCCCTGTATAGCGTTCATTAATATGGTCCTCCTGTATAGCGTTCATTTATATAGTCCCCCTGTATAGCGTTCATTTATATAGTCCCCCTGTATAGCGTTCAATTACATAGTCCCCCTGTATAGCGTTCATTTATATAGTCCCCCTGTATAGCGTTCATTAATATGGTCCTCCTGTATAGCGTTCATTAATATGGTCCTCCTGTATAGCGTTCATTTATATAGTCCCCCTGTATAGCGTTCATTTACATAGTCCCCCTGTATAGCGTTCATTTACATAGTCCCCCTGTATAGCGTTCATTAATATAGTCCCCCTGTATAGCACTCATTTATATAGTCCCCCTGTATAGCGTTCATTTATATAGTCCCCCTGTATAGCGTTCATTTATATAGTCCCCCTGTATAGCGTTCATTTATATAGTCCCCCTGTATAGTGTTCATTTATATAGTCCCCCTGTATAGCGTTCATTTATATAGTCCCCCTGTATAGCGTTCATTAATATGGTCCTCCTGTATAGCGTTCATTTATATAGTCCCCCTGTATAGCGTTCATTTACATAGTCCCCCTGTATAGCGTTCATTTATATAGTCCCCCTGTATAGCGTTCATTTATATAGTACCCCTGTATAGCACTCATTTACATAGTCCCCCTGTATAGCGTTCATTTATATAGTCCCCCTGTATAGCGTTCATTGATATAGTCCCCCTGTATAGCGTTCATTAATATGGTCCTCCTGTATAGCGTTCATTTATATAGTCCCCCTGTATAGCACTCATTTATATAGTCCCCCTGTATAGCGTTCATTTATATAGTCCCCCTGTATAGCGTTCATTTATATAGTCCCCCGTATAGCGTTCATTTATATAGTCCCCCTGTATAGCGTTCAATTATATAGTCCTCCTGTATGGCGTTCATTTATATAGTCCCCCTGTGTAGCGTTTATTTATATAGTCCCCCGCATAGCGTTCATTTATATAGTCCCCCGTATAGCGTTCATTTATATAGTCCCCCTATGTAGCGTTCATTTATATAGTCCCCCTGTGTAGCGTTCATAGTCAGCAGTCCTAGCAGTGATGTTTTAAAAGACCATTTGCTTTTGCATAGCAATGGACAGCGAAACCTCAACTCCTATAGTGTTACACTAGATATGTGCACCCCTAGTTTGTATACAGCAGCACCATATAGACATGTAATGTGTCAATTACCAACAGCTGTAGCAGGTAGGATTTACAATCGTAACAGAAACGGATGTCCCGCCGAGGACCAATGAGTGTCCATGTAATACACGTGATGAATATAATCCATTCATCTGATGAATGATCCCACATATATATTGATGTGTCTCTCGTGGGCTTTACTTCTTCGTTCTTGTAAGTATCGGAGTGATGACCAACTGAGTGTATTCCTCCACAGCTTTCATGCAATATGTCAGTTGTCTCGTTGTGTAAACTCCGTATACGTGCTTCTGTTAGCCTGACGTTGATGTCCAACCAACATGAATTCCTTTCCTTTTCTTTCCAGGCGAATTGAGAAGCTTCCTGTGTTCAGCAGTAGTTGCGGATTTACAGATCTACATCGGCAGGCCATAGACAATGTTGGGCTTTTTTCGAGGATTCAACCCACGTCTACCTGGCAGGTAGGCTCCAGATAACATTAGCATTAAAATGTATCTTCATTTTAGCATGTGACATGTAGAGTAATCGTATACACTACTGGTTGTTCATCATCATCATCATCATTTATTGTATTCAGGCCATAGGCCCATATACATACAATAATATTATATTTATACAATTTTGTACAAGTATGAACATGCAGACTTATATATACAATTTTGTGAAAAATAAATCGCATCACAACACAACAAGAGGAGATTAAAGCATTTGATTAATAAAGGCAAATAACCTCAAGAATAATTAAACATCATTTGTACAAAGACGGTTGCGCAGTCGTAAACCATAATTAATGTATAGGATAGTATTCTTTTGTTGCTCGTTAGATATTTCATCAAAACGGAGGAGCTTGATTAGTGTATTGATGTTTTGGGGTAAACCTTGGAAATATTTTGTTCTGAGCGATTCATAACATGGACAGATAAGCATAAAATGGTATTCGTTTTCAATAAATGTGGGACTGGCTGTTAGTAATACCAGTGTTGGTAATTCAGCCTGGAAAATTGCTTAAAGCAGCGAGACATTGATGAATTGTGAATGATCAGTACCTTTCGCTTGTGTTGTAAACGTCAAAGAGTTCCCATCAGCCTGGCAAACAGTAATATAAAGGACTGGAAACAATGTTCACAATGCGCCTAACCCAACTCACTCACTCACTCACTCACTCACTCACTCACTCACTCACTTACCCAAAACAGCATTCAACACTCACTTACCCAATTCCCACACACTCAGTCACTCACGCATTCGAGTTTTCAAGCGGTTTGCATGTATATGAATTTATTGAACGTGAATATAGTTTGAGTGTTTTTGCGTCATTTTAGGTCCCGCTCTCGCAGAAGATACAGGGATGGGGGCGTCGAAGGCATACGCAGGAGCTATTTTGCCAGGCGGTTCCCCTCCTACTCCAGCTCCAACTCGCGACCACGACCTTCAGAGTGTGACGACAGGTTCGTACGCCCTCAAAGACCTGACTTCTCTCAACAGCCTGGCATGGAACAATCTACAGTGTCTGATAAAGACGATTCGAGACCGCAACAACCTTCGTTCCGCCCACACCGCCTTGGACAACAACGCCCGAGGCCCCAACAACGCCCGGGACAACAGGGTCCGCGCCGCCCACAACGCCCGGAACAACAGGGTCCGTGCCGCCCACAACGCCCTGGACAAGAACGACCGTGCCGCCCACAACGCCCTGGACAACAACGCCCGGAACAGCAACGCCCGAGGCCCCAACAACGCCCAGAACAACAACGCCCGAGGCCCCAACAACGCCCGGAACAGCAAGGCCCGACGCTTGGTCAAACAGTCCTCACCCAACAACAAGGTAACAATCCTTATGCAATCTTGTTTTACATTATTTTTACATACATTTCCAATTTCAAAAGCTTTTTTAATTGTATCAGTTGCATGTATTTATTTCTGGATACTGCTAACATCAGACATTATTAATCTGATTGTATAACGCCTATTCATTATCTATCTTTTCACATTCTGTCACCTCTATATTTTAGGTACCGTCATTTTAAACCAGGTCACAGGCTAGTCGCGCCTCAATTCGTTGTGCAGAGTTGCGTCCCTCAGTTGCGCCAGAATCCTATGCTCGTGGGTTCAATTCCCATATTCGTCCCGATTAAGTTTCTCGGTTTGTTAGCGCCTTGTGCTCGTGGGTTTCAAAAAAGTAGTAAACGTCTAAGACCTGCATCACTTCGGGCTTTCCTCCCACATTAAGCTGACACGCCGCGATATAACTGGAATACTGTTCATAGTGGTGTTATATCGTACTCACTGACACGTATCAAATATCCAACAAGAACCTGCTGTAAATTCCACCAGGACTGGGAAGGTTCCGATGGATTCCTGTGTGTTCCTTGTAGTAGGATCCCGGGTCTCAGTAGGTCACCGGTACATTATTCACGAAATCTTCAGGCAGAATAGGATCTGTTTGTTTCTTGTTCAACGCCTAGTAACCAGTATTCCAGTTATGAGTAAATGCCGACAGGTTATCAATAATTCAGCCTGGACCAGACGATCTAACTAGTGTTATTATTGCGTAAACTCAGGCTGACAATAAAATGACAGTACAGTAAACTACGGTTATAACGAACTGAAAGGGACTACTAATTTTAGGTCGTTATAACCGTAGTTCGTTATAAGCACATATACAGCATGACTACAGCAGGTAGTCGGGACCAAAAAGTAAGTTCGTTATATCCGTCAGTTCGTTATAAGCGTGTTCGTTAAAACCGTAGTTTACTGTACTTAACTTTATAACCGATTCTGACCACCTGATCTGTTTAGTCGCCTCGTACGACAATCATAGGCTACCAAGGACCAATTCTAACCCTGAATTCCCACTAGGTCACTCATATAGTGAGAAATGGGTTCCCGAATATAAGGCAAGTGAAATATGTTCACAGCCTGATTAGGTTACGGATCACGCTATAACTATTACGTCAACCGTCAACCATTTCGATTTCGATGCACGAATAATCATGGAATTGGGCCTGGCCAGTCATTGTGGTAATAAGTGGATAAGGGTCCAGTGTGTGTGTGTGTCTGTCTGTCTGTCTGTCTTTCTGTCTGTGTGTCTGTCTGTGTATGTGTGGCTGCTTGACCTAGTCCTACTGATGCCGATTTATAGTGCTAGCTCACTGATACAACATGAATACCCCACTCAGACACAATATATCGACTCCGAGCCAACAAGTCCTTGTTTAGCCCCTTAATACCGAGCGCCAGTCTCTGTGTTGTAAATAACAGTTGAAGTTTCTTCCTTTTTCGTCATCACCAGAGCAAACAGTGCCACAGGAACCAGCAGTGTGTGTGGAGCCGCCAGTGACAGAGCCGGAAGTGTTTGTGGAGCCGCCAGTGACAGAACCGGAAGTGTGTGTGGAGCCGCCAGTGACAGAACCAGAACCAGAGCCAGAGCCGGAGGTGTGTGAGCCGGAGGTGTCTGAAGAGCTGGAAGAGCCAGAGGAATTAGAAGAGTCAGACGAGTATGTTGAACCAGAGGAGCCAGAGGAGCCAGTGGTACCAGAGGAGCCAGAGGTTGAGGAAGAAGAACTGGCAACAAAACTGCACGTCACTGCGGTTGACCTTCACTATGAGGACAATGCCAAAGAACACCACACTGACATGTACGCATGCTCGAAGGGAACTGAAGAGAGAGATGCAGAGCTGGTTCTCCGTAGAGGTCAAGAGTTCAAGATGACCATCACCTTCGATAGGCCATATGACATCAAGAAGAATGACATCACGCTGATGTTTAATTTGGGTAAACTACTTAACAAAATGTGTTCAATACAAAAATACTGACAAGGGAGATTGTAGTACATAGTACTATTTCACGTTGACCACTTACTTAGAAAAATAATCCCATGATGTTATTCTTTATCGATGCACAATTCTTTCTTGGGTAGACGTTCGCGTTTTTCTGACTAAACATATTCATCCAATGCAGGTGACGACTACAAACCACACAAGGGTTTGAACGCACAATTCTTTCTTGGGTAGACGTTTGCGTTTTTCTGACTAAACATATTCATCCAATGCAGGTGACGAATACAAACCACACAAGGGTTTGAACGCATCCTTCACGGTGGACGAAACTGGGGCCACGAAGTACAAGCCCAACAACTGGGGTGCGACGGTCACAGGGCAGGAAGGAAACTCCCTCACACTGTCCGTCTTCATCCCCGCAACCACGCCCATCGGCGAGTGGGAGTTTGCCATCCAGACAATCGTGGATGTCAAGGACGACAAGAATATTATCTGGCAGTACAACCATACAGCTGACGTCATTGACATCATATTCAACCCATGGTGCAAAGGTGAGAACAACAACTACTTTCTTCTTTGAAGAATTGTTGATTTCAATTCAGTTCTTTGTATTCAAGACACAATACCTACATACTTACAAGTTACATAACGTTAAGGTTAGAGTAAGGCATGGATATACATGTACAGTGTGTGGGACGTTAACCAAACTTTTTTCGGATCAAAATAACTCTTTAATAGAATTTGGACAATATTTCAACAATTACATTATTAGTATCCATCATAAAAAACAGAATCGTTCAAAATTACAATTTTCTTTATATTTTGGGCATATATAGTTTTGCATACTATCATACAATGGGGGATCTTAAAATTACGTGAAATTCATCTTCAATAATATTCAAATTACAAAACTGACAGATTCGGCTTTCTATTGGAATATTTTGTCTGCGTCCTATGTATGTCTGTAGCCCTGCCCCAAGTGCCCTTGATAGAGCCAGATGATATCTAATAATTAATATATTGTTATTGTTAACATAAATTTCAGGATATTTATTTATATTTATATTTTTAACTGGAATAATTTCATATCTGGAGCTTTCGTTCAATTGTGCGTGCCTATCTTTAAAGGACAAAGTTTCATTTTGACTTCAATACAAATGTATTCATTATTCCCGACTTCTTTTTAGACCCATGCATACCCCATACTAAATGTAAAAATGATTTTCTAATGATTGATATCCAAGTAATTCTGTTATGTGCCTTCAGTATAACATATTGTTAGCTTTCTTTGGGGGCCGATTATTTGTCATATGTACAAGGGACAGCCAGTATTTGATGCATCTGAATTACGATTCATTAAACAATGGGTCTCTTCCAGAACCCCCAAGTGCCGTTATATTTTGTGTATGATTCGGCGTTCCTAAAAATCTTTTGCATGCCGTTGTTGGAATTCACTCCATAGTTCAGTTCCATTCAAAATAATAGGTTTAATCATTCAAATGTCTTGAAGAACATGTCGAAGATAAGGCTACCAAAAGCATACCATGAACGAAGAAGTTCATATAGTGCCACTTTAGCCGTAACACTGATATTCTGCACTGCTTTCTGCATATTTAAATTAAAGTAAAACATCACCCCAACATATATCTTTTGAGAGACTATTTCAATGTTCCCATTTCCAAACTTCAATAATTCTCATTTCTTTCAATGGACCCTTTTTTCGGAAAACAATAACTGTTGGGGGTTTTTTCTAGGTTGACATTCAATTTCCATTTTATACACTATAAATTCAGAGTATCAAGATGTCTTTGTAGTCCAATTACGTTATCTGAAAAAAATATGATGTTTGCAAATAATAAAATGAGAAGTTCTGTATAATCAGGGGACAATTGGGTTCCTCTATTTCCACCATATTCAAGGGAACTTACTAGTTCTTATATGTGTACAGCGAGAAGAGAAGCGGGCTAAGAACACAGCCCTGACGTAGTCCTGTAGATGTCTCAAATATTTCAGAGAAGTATCAGAATTAGCTTGTCCAGCTTGTAGCCATCGCACAGAGAGAGAGGATCCCATATATCACGGCATTGTACTTGTGATTATATAGACATACTTGAACACGAACGGCTTTTCTGTTCTATTAACGTTTTGATGAAATAACAAAATCTTTCGTGTTATAATTTAAGTAGCAAAGTGTGATAAAATGTAATCAATATGGTACAGCATACAATGATATTTCTAGCCAATGATGTCAAATGATGTCAAATATCACAAAAAAGTAGATTCATCTCTTTGTATGTATCATGAAGACGATAGGATGTCATGATTTTCAAGTCATTTTGCATTTCGGATTTTAAAGTAAATTGAGAAAAGAGTCTCAAGTTACTGTCTTTTTCATATTGTATATGTATTCTGAGCAAGCAGGCACAAGCCGACGAATAAGAAAAGAGGGCTGAACTTAAATGATAAAGTACCTAAACATACTCACCAACCATATAAGTGAGCCTTCCTAACCTGTCCCGCCACCTCCATTGAGAAGTGATGTAAGAACTATTTTTGCCTCTGTAACCCATAGGAGCTCGACGAGCGTTGATCTTTAATGATGGTCACCTTTGGTAGTACCTCCTCATAGATACCAGCCTCACTGATCAGTTTACAGCCTCTTTCCACAAACTTTCCACAAGGTTCATTCTGTCAAATAGGAATGTTATAAGGTGAGGTGAAATTGGGTTTAACGTCGCGTCCAAGATTATTGCACTTATATAGCGACGTGCATGCACGTGTGTGTGTGTGTGTGTGTGTGTGTGTGGCTGCTTGTACTAGTCCGGACTGATGCCGATTTATAGTGCTAGCCCACTGAGATACCATGCCGCAGTTTAACATGAATACCCCACTCAGACACAGTATACTGACTCCGAGCCGACCAGTCCTTGTTTTAGCCCCTTAATGCCGAGCGCCAGACAGGGTAACAACAAGTACCATCTTTTAACGTCTTTTGGTATGACGCGGCCGGGGATCGAACCCCGGACCTTCCGCTATCCGGGCGGACGCTCTACCAGGAATGTTATAAAGAAGGTTAACCATCAATGAAGAGAATTTATGGATGTCAACTTCTTTATTATGAGGAACACAACGTTTCGGAGTATATACTTACTCTTTCATCTGCCAAAGGTGTAAGTTTATACCCCGAAATGTTTTGTTCCTCATAATAAAGAAGCTGACATCCATAAATTCTCTTCCTTATGTATATAACTTCTAAATGCCTTACAAAGATTTGTTAACTATCACGTTGTGAATGTTTCAAAATATGATTAATGGTTTTGAATAAACTCTATCTAACAGAGGACTGGGTGTACATGGAGGACGATGTCTGGAGGACTGAGACGGTCCTCAACGACCACGGCACTCAGTACTACGGCACCTACAATCAGGTCGGAGTCAAAGCATGGGCCTACAACCAGGTAATCACAGCAGAACCATCGTCATTATTTTCTCTATACGGACCTTATCTCTGCTGAAGTATGGAGTTGGGGTGGATCGTATTGTGCTATTGTTACGGGTCCTTCACGATGTCCATGTTACATTACCAATCAGCTGGTGGTGTAGTGTCAAGGCTGCACTTGGAGTTCTTGCATGTGAGACCGTGGGACCAATAAGAGTGTGTCTTGTGCCTGTGTCCTGAGAGTTGTTCGTGAAGACGTGTATTGAGGTGCGATAACCGTAGCAGTAAAAGCATGTATTCCATATGAGAGTCTCTGTTTCCGTCCCAGTGAAGCAAGTAATAGTTTCCTGTGTATTAATTGGATGTCCATCTGGTGACACTTGGTTATCTGCTGTCATGTTTCAGTTCAACTATGGCATACTGGACACTGCTCTCCACCTTGTGAGGAAATCGTTCGGGTTCCAGGCTACGCCAGCTATGGCAAGCCCGGTCAAAGTATCCAGGATGATCGCAAAGATTGTGAGTTTTACAGCAGTGTCATTGATGCAATACTACGACACTCACTTCATCCTAAAACATATATCTTCCAACTCACAGTATCTATAGCCTCCAAACCGTATCTATATTATTAAAACGTTCAGTAAATACATTAACAGTACCTTATTAATTGACAAACGAATTTTGTATGACAATTTATTTTCTCTTCACCCTTTAAAACGATGTCTCTTCTGACTACGCTAAGAGGGTATGTAAGTCCCAAATCATTCGAAGTATTTTTATGCATGCCAGGCTTTTAAACGTAGTATTTTTGTCATTTTAATCTTAGGCTTAACTGGTCAATTCTCGTCAGTGACTGTAGGGTGATATAAATCCTGCCAGGGCCCATGCAGGAAGCAAAGGTACTGTAAGTCCCCATGGTCCCTGGTGTGGTGATCTCCCTTTAGTTACTGACGATCTCTAGACCATTTTTATATTGTGTTGTTCCTTAATAAGTAATGCTTTTTAAATGTTCCACAACTGGTTTTAAATCTTCTCTGTGATATTCTAGTTATCATACTGTCCTTCGATGACAGATTTTTATAAAGTTTAAATATATGTATATTTCATGTCTAACTTCTCGTCACGATATGGCTGAAATATTGCCGATGTGACGTAAAGCGTTAACTCACTCACTCACTCTGACTACGATTGAGAACTGGTATGGTTACAGGTGAACTCCCCTGACGATGACGGAGTACTCTTGGGCAACTGGAGTGGAAATTATGCTGGGGGTGTTGCCCCGACTGCGTGGGTGGGCAGCGAGAAGATCCTGTTGGAGTACATGAAGACAGCGAAACCAGTGCGGTACGGCCAGTGCTGGGTATTCTCCGCCGTCACCACTGCTGGTAGGTCAAGCACAGTTCCACATGTGTAACAACCACCATACACATATACTATATTGACGTCACGACATTTGTCTGTTCCTTTGGACGAGAGGCTGGAGACATGACCACGAAACTGATGTTCATAAAATTATGAACGTCACATTTTGAGGTCCATCCATTTTTCATGAGACTGTATTCCTGAAATGACAAACCCTGACGGACAACTTCCACATTCCTGGGAACACCCCTGGGAATTCCCAATCACGAACACATACAGAGGCATTGTTTCTGATCATTTAGATCTTTTAATCTTGAACTCGGCGTTTCAGCATACATAGAGGTTAACCCCGTGCCCGTTCGAGAATATCCTCGCTACGACCCACCCACGTGAACAAAACGTAAAAATGTACATCCAAGTTATTGACTCGGTGCATGTCTAGACTGACAGTAGCACTCAAGACCAATGAATTTGCCTCAGTATCTTTCTGACACATCTGTATAATCACCTTTCAATTGCTCGATGACAACAATGATGACTCGCAAGCTCGGACGTTCATACAGTTTGTCCCCTCACTCTACTCCAATGAACTCGTACAAAATGAAAGTCAAGTATGTAAGTGGAGGATTCTAACCGAACATCTAGAATCAAGACGATGGGTGGAGAGGAGCCAGTTGGTGCCACCCTAAACCATGACAGACGTTGCAGGAGGGTCCCTCAGAATGTTGAGGGATTTGACAGTTTGGCGGACTATCAAAGTACTGGTCCATATGGTCCAGATATTTTTTCTTAAAAGCCTCTACCAACTTTAAGTTAGATGTTGGATATGATTAGTGACTTGGTGATGGCGTGCTTTAACAAACTGGTAACCTTGCATGACGATTTAACTTGATCTAGACAACAGGTTTTATACAAAAATCGCACACTGGTTGAAATAAGCATAAACAAAGGCAAACATGTATTGTGATAAAGATGAGGAAAAATATTAGTCATCTGGTTTTTATCCCTGCATAGTGTGCAGAGCTCTTGGACTGCCTTGTCGCAGCATCACCAACTTCTCCTCTGCTCACAACACCGACCTGTTCCGTCTCAGCGTCGATGTCATCAAAAGAGAAGTGGGAGGCGTAATCGAGGAAACCAAGGATGATTTTATTTGGTAGGTTCAGGAGGAAGTGGACCTTTTTGTTTTCATAGCATATGCACTACAGTTGGGAAATGCGTCACACATTCTAGTATGTCATCATCAGACTCAAATTGGAATTGATGATAACCTCAATGACAAATTAAATAACGTTAATAGGTATGTTTTTATTTCTTCTTGTATTCTTTCTCTGAGATAAATTGTATCAACAACATATTATTTGTTACCCTGAGAGTTTTCTGCTGATTTAAAACTGTGTCATTAGTTGTCAGAAGTATTACCTCGTGTTACACCCATCAATAATAATAATACACCCCTCGGCTGTTTACCCCTGGAAGTTCTTCCAATTCATGGAGCTTACACAAGGTATGTTAGGTCAATAAGATATACCATATCTCAATAATCAGGAGCAATTACCTCGGCTGTTTACCCCTGGAAGTTCTTCCAATTCATGGAGCTAACACAAGGTATGTTAGGTCAATAAGATATACCATATCTCAATAATCAGGAGCAATTACCTCGGCTGTTTACCCCTGGAAGTTCTTCCAACTCGTGGAGCTAACACAAAGTATGTTAGGTCAATAAGATATACCATATCTCAATAATCAGGAGCAATTACCTCGGCTGTTTACCCCTGGAAGTTCTTCCAATTCATGGAGCTTACACAAGGTATGTTAGGTCAATAAGATATACCATATCTCAATAATCAGGAGCAATTACCTCGGCTGTTTACCCCTGGAAGTTCTTCCAATTCATGGAGCTAACACAAAGTATGTTAGGTCAATAAGATATACCATATCTCAATAATCAGGAGCAATTACCTCGGCTGTTTACCCCTGGAAGTTCTTCCAATTCATGGAGCTAACACAAGGTATGTTAGGTCAATAAGATATACCATATCTCAATAATCAGGTGCAATTACCTCGGCTGTTTACCCCTGGAAGTTCTTCCAATTCATGGAGCTAACACAAAGTATGTTAGGTCAATAAGATATACCATATCTCAATAATCAGGAGCAATTACCTCGGCTGTTTACCCCTGGAAGTTCTTCCAATTCATGGAGCTAACACAAGGTATGTTAGGTCAATAAGATATACCATATCTCAATAATCAGGAGCAATTACCTCGGCTGTTTACCCCTGGAAGTTCTTCCAATTCATGGAGCTAACACAAAGTATGTTAGGACAATAAGATATACCATATCTCAATAATCAGGTGCAAATACCTCGGCTGTTTACCCCTGGAAGTTCTTCCAATTCATGGAGCTAACACAAAGTATGTTAGGTCAATAAGATATACCATATCTCAATAATCAGGAGCAATTACCTCGGCTGTTTACCCCTGGAAGTTCTTCCAATTCATGGAGCTAACACAAGGTATGTTAGGTCAATAAGATATACCATATCTCAATAATCAGGAGCAATTACCTCGGCTGTTTACCCCTGGAAGTTCTTCCAATTCATGGAGCTAACACAAAGTATGTTAGGACAATAAGATATACCATATCTCAATAATCAGGTGCAAATACCTCGGCTGTTTACCCCTGGAAGTTCTTCCAACTCGTGGAGCTAACACAAAGTATGTTAGGACAATAAGATATACCATATCTCAATAATCAGGTGCAATTACCTCGGCTGTTTACTCCTGGAAGTTCTTCCAATTCATGGAGCTAACACAAAGTATGTTAGGTCAATAAGATATACCATATCTCAATAATCAGGAGCAATTACCTCGGCTGTTTACCCCTGGAAGTTCTTCCAACTCGTGGAGCTAACACAAAGTATGTTAGGTCAATAAGATATACCATATCTCAATAATCAGGAGCAATTACCTCGGCTGTTTACCCCTGGAAGTTCTTCCAATTCATGGAGCTTACACAAGGTATGTTAGGTCAATAAGATATACCATATCTCAATAATCAGGAGCAATTACCTCGGCTGTTTACCCCTGGAAGTTCTTCCAATTCATGGAGCTAACACAAAGTATGTTAGGTCAATAAGATATACCATATCTCAATAATCAGGAGCAATTACCTCGGCTGTTTACCCCTGGAAGTTCTTCCAATTCATGGAGCTAACACAAAGTATGTTAGGTCAATAAGATATACCATATCTCAATAATCAGGAGCAATTACATCGGCTGTTTACTCCTGGAAGTTCTTCCAATTCATGGAGCTAACACAAAGTATGTCAGGTCAATAAGATATACCATATCTCAATAATCAGGTGCAATTACCTCGGCTGTTTACCCCTGGAAGTTCTTCCAATTCATGGAGCTAACACAAGGTATGTTAGGTCAATAAGATATACCATATCTCAATAATCAGGAGCAATTACCTCGGCTGTTTACCCCTGGAAGTTCTTCCAATTCATGGAGCTAACACAAGGTATGTTATGTCAATAAGATATACCATATCTCAATAATCAGGAGCAATTACCTCGGCTGTTTACCCCTGGAAGTTCTTCCAATTCATGGAGCTAACACAAAGTATGTTAGGACAATAAGATATACAATATCAGGTGCAATTACCTCGGCTGTTTACTCCTGGAAGTTCTTCCAACTCGTGGAGCTAACACAAAGTATGTTAGGTCAATAAGATATACCATATCTCAATAATCAGGAGCAATTACCTCGGCTGTTTACCCCTGGAAGTTCTTCCAATTCATGGAGCTAACACAAAGTATGTTAGGTCAATAAGATATACCATATCTCAATAATCAGGTGCAAATACCTCGGCTGTTTACCCCTGGAAGTTCTTCCAATTCATGGAGCTAACACAAGGTATGTTAGGTCAATAAGATATACCATATCTCAATAATCAGGAGCAATTACCTCGGCTGTTTACCCCTGGAAGTTCTTCCAATTCATGGAGCCTACACAAAGTATGTTAGGTCAATAAGATATACAATATCAGGTGCAATTACCTCGGCTGTTTACTCCTGGAAGTTCTTCCAACTCGTGGAGCTAACACAAAGTATGTTAGGTCAATAAGATATACCATATCTCAATAATCAGGTGCAATTACCTCGGCTGTTTACTCCTGGAAGTTCTTCCAATTCATGGAGCTTACACAAGGTATGTTAGGTCAATAAGATATACCATATCTCAATAATCAGGAGCAATTACCTCGGCTGTTTACTCCTGGAAGTTCTTCCAATTCATGGAGCTAACACAAAGTATGTTAGGTCAATAAGATATACAATATCAGGTGCAATTACCTCGGCTGTTTACTCCTGGAAGTTCTTCCAACTCGTGGAGCTAACACAAAGTATGTTAGGTCAATAAGATATACCATATCTCAATAATCAGGAGCAATTACCTCGGCTGTTTACCCCTGGAAGTTCTTCCAATTCATGGAGCTAACACAAAGTATGTTAGGTCAATAAGATATACCATATCTCAATAATCAGGAGCAATTACATCGGCTGTTTACTCCTGGAAGTTCTTCCAATTCATGGAGCTAACACAAGGTATGTTAGGTCAATAAGATATACCATATCTCAATAATCAGGAGCAATTACCTCGGCTGTTTACCCCTGGAAGTTCTTCCAATTCATGGAGCTAACACAAAGTATGTTAGGTCAATAAGATATACCATATCTCAATAATCAGGAGCAATTACCTCGGCTGTTTACCCCTGGAAGTTCTTCCAATTCATGGAGCTAACACAAGGTATGTTAGGTCAATAAGATATACCATATCTCAATAATCAGGAGCAATTACATCGGCTGTTTACTCCTGGAAGTTCTTCCAATTCATGGAGCTAACACAAGGTATGTTAGGTCAATAAGATATACCATATCTCAATAATCAGGAGCAATTACCTCGGCTGTTTACCCCTGGAAGTTCTTCCAATTCATGGAGCTAACACAAGGTATGTTAGGTCAATAAGATATACCATATCTCAATAATCAGGTGCAATTACCTCGGCTGTTTACCCCTGGAAGTTCTTCCAATTCATGGAGCTAACACAAGGTATGTTAGGTCAATAAGATATACCATATCTCAATAATCAGGTGCAATTACCTCGGCTGTTTACTCCTGGAAGTTCTTCCAATTCATGGAGCTAACACAAAGTATGTTAGGTCAATAAGATATACCATATCTCAATAATCAGGTGCAATTACCTCGGCTGTTTACCCCTGGAAGTTCTTCCAATTCATGGAGCTAACACAAAGTATGTTAGGTCAATAAGATATACCATATCTCAATAATCAGGAGCAATTACCTCGGCTGTTTACTCCTGGAAGTTCTTCCAACTCGTGGAGCTAACACAAAGTATGTTAGGTCAATAAGATATACCATATCTCAATATCAGGAGCAATTACATCGGCTGTTTACCCCTGGAAGTTCCTCCAATTCGTGAAGCTAACAATAAGTCTTTTACGTCAAAAAGATGAAACATTGACGCTTCAGTGACAAAAATGATATCCGATGCAATTCCCTACTTTGACTAGTACCGTATGTTCCCGTGGTTTTTTTCAAGTGAACAATGACTTGCCTTTGCATGTGTTTGTGACGAGTGCAATCGATGGGGCTCATGCGCTCATCTTTTCACGAACACGTGGTATCATCACTATTTGATAGTGATTCATAAACGCATGCTCATTAAATAGTCGGAATCGTAGAATCGACTTTTAGAAGAGATTTCTTTTGAATGTGGAAAGGGTTTTGTCGCTTTTATGTATATATGTTCTGTTTCTACCTACAGGAACTTCCACGTCTGGAATGAGGTGTTCATGAGACGCCCGGATCTGAACACTGACGCCATAAAGTACGACGGCTGGCAAGTCATTGACGCCACGCCCCAAGAACGCAGCGATGGTGAGGTTTACCAAATTTGTACTTTAAGACCTTTAGTTAGAAGGTATAGGACGTTAGCAACATGTCTGTTATAGTCAACGTGTTGTGTGTGATTGTAGATAGATAGATAGATAGATAGATAGAAAGATAGACATTCGTCTTTTCCGTTTCTTGTTATGTAGGTGTGTATGTGTGCGGCCCGGCCCCTGTGGTTGCCATTAAAGAAGGCCACTTGAACGTAGGTGACGACACCAGCTTCGTCTACGCTGAGGTGAACGCCGACAAGGTGGAATGGACGAACAGCAATGTGCTCAATACACTCGTCGAAACGAAGCGGGACAGATATGCGTGAGTTTTTAATCACTTAGATGCCAAGAAAAGGCAACTGATGGAAGGTGCGAACGATCCGGGCACAGCATAATGACTCCGAGCCGACCAGTCCTGGTGCGTCAGACAGGGCAACAACAAGTACCATCTTTTAACGTCTTTTGGTATGACGCGGCCGGGGATCGAACCCCGGACCTTTTGCTCTCCGGGCGGACGCTCTACCACTAGACCACGGAGGCGGTCGTTGAATTTTAGTGAGAGAACAGAACCGAGACAGGATACTTCTGAAATCAGATACAGAGGAGTTAGGCCAGATCTTTGAGGAATTAGAAACTTTCTGGGTTAGGTTTACGGCAGGAAGGCCTTTTGAGCAGCAAGTTGATCAGGGGTCGTTGTACAAAACAACCTTAGCGCTACGATTGTCGCAAGTCTATGTTAAGGTATGGGAGTTACGATCACCTCAGCGCTAAGATCGCTTTGTGCAACGGTACCCAGGGATATAAGAGGGAATGCTGGGTGTACTAGGGAGTATAGAACGAGGAAAGTATATGAAATGAACTGGGGCACGATAGGAATCGTTGGCATTAAAAAACTGGCTTGGTGAGAATGTATTGGAGTTTTACCTTATTCTGGAGGGCACACGACAGAGAAGTTCATAATGTTATCTTGGCTTGATTCAGAATCGGCAAGAACATCAGCACCCACAAACCGACAGGCAAGCCCTACGCCTCTTCCTCCACAGGCAACTTCATGACTGGAGATGACAACATGGAGAGGGAAGACCTCACGAAGTGCTACAAGTACGAAGACGGTACGCCAAGAACTACATTGAAATCTTGAACCCGTAAAAATCCGGGTAGAATAGGTCTTCAGCGACCCATGCTTGCCTTAAAAGTCGACTATGCTTGTAAGAGGCGACTGACGGGATCGGGTGGTCAAGCTCGCTAACTTGGTTGATGCATGTCATCGTATCCCAATTGCGTGGATCGATGCTCATGATGTCAATTCCTGTATTGTCTGGTCCAGACTCGAATATTTACAGACCGCCGTTATATGGCTGGAATATTGCTGAGTGCGGCACGCCAGAAGTCATGTATATGAGTGAAGGATCCGCGCTGTGTGTCTTATTGAACATATTTGAGCAGTCACAGCATTTGAAAAGTGATCAGAGAATACATGTTATGACGCTGACCTGTTTCAGGCTCAGCCAAGGAGAAGGGTGTGCACGCATCTGCAGAGAAGCAGTTCTATCTGATGAATGGCAAAGACAGCGAAGCCAGTGAATCAGTGACACAGGTTGGTGTATGTCATTGGGCATTGGTAGTGTTGCAAGTCACATGTTACTTCCATGTACTTATAAACCTATTCATTGGGATCGCTATTAAGTAAGAGACTTCTTTCTATAGGCATTAAAACCTATTGTGAGGTTTTACTTTCCAGTCGGGTTAAATCTCCTTAACAGGGAGGTTGTAATGTCCCAGGGATTTTATATAATGTCCTGGGTATTTTATTAATATAACTTCCGTTCAGATTGTAACATGTAATGAAATGTAAATTCAACCGACAAATGTTTTCTTTATATTCCCGAGAATCGAACTCGCAACCTTCATATCTGTAGCCCAGTGAGTGTACCACGAGGCTACAGAGGTGTTGATAAGACTCACTGGTTTTTAGAATGTCTTTTTCAAGATCCGTACGCCAGCAACAGATATTTTACGCGCGTTTCCTAAGGTTGTGGAAAGTATGTTTCTTTTTTCGGTTTATAAGCATGGAAAAACACTTTCCCTCGGTTTTGGTAGACAGAGCATGCCTTAGGGGTCGGGAAAAACCGCGGGGGCTTCACCATTACTGGTGTATAAGCCCTGTTTGTTTCACGGAAATCAGTGGCAGTAACATGACTGGTGTATAAGCCCTGTTTGTTTCACGGAAATCAGTGGCAGTAACATGACTCGTGTATAAGCCCTGTTTGTTTCACAGAAATCAGTGGCAGTAACATGACTGGTGTATAAGCCCATGTTTGTTTCACGGAAATCAGTGGCAGTAACATGACTGGTGTATAAGCCCTGTTTGTTTCACGGAAATCAGTGACAGTAACATGACTGGTGTATAAGCCCTGTTTGTTTCACGGAAATCAGTGGCAGTAACATGACTGGTGTTTAAGGCCATGTTTGTTTCACCGAAATCAGTGGCAGTAACATGACTTTTGTATGAGCCCATGTTTGTTTCATGGAAATCAGTGGCAGTTACATGACTGGTGTATAAACCCATGTTTCATTCACGGGAGTCAGTGGTAACTAATGATGTAACAGATCTGAAAGTGATGACAAAAAAACTTTACTTTGCAGACTAGCAACTTGGATATTGAGATTGATGAGATGGGCGATATCACTGTCGGCAGCCCATTCGCCTACAGACTTTTTGTCAAGAACAACAGGAGTGATGCCTGCACCGCCAAGGTCAACCTGAAGGTGCTCTACAAGACCTACTTCGACACCGTCACGGGGATTGCTACTGAAAAAGATTGTGACGAGATCAGGCTGCAGCCTGGTGCTTGTATGCATTTTGTTATCCTCTGAAAACAGTTAACCAAACCATAGTGTATTACAGTAAACTACGGTTATAACGAACACGCTTATAACGAACTAACGGATATAACGAACTAACTTTTTAGTCCCGACTATATGCTGTAGCTATGCTGTATATATGCTTATAACGAACTACGGTTATAACGAACTAAAATTAGTAGTGCCTTTGAGTTCGTTATAACCGTAGTTTACTGTATATGTATCAATGTTTATGTTATATGTTTTCGGCAAACGAATTTTGGTAGGACCACCCAACTCAGGCTGGTTATGTCATCTGACAATGGCTTGAGAGGCGTTTGTAATCTTTAAACTTCAGATCTGGCGGATGCTACCGCTAGGGCGGGACATGCTTACCCTTTGCGCGAACACCTGGGCCCACTTGCACAAAGCGATCTCAGCGCTAAGATGATCGTAACTCCCACACTTTAACATAGGCTTAGCGCTAAGGTCGCTTTGTGCAAGTGGGCCCAGGTGTCGTCACGGATTTTCAGCAGTCCGCTCATAATTTTCACAGCTAAGTGCCTTTTACGCCCAACGGAATCAGTTTCGTGGGATAATCGAGACTGGTTTTTTCCTGGCGTTGACGTTCAATATATCTCATACCTTGACGGGAAATCAATCAACGCGGTCATGTTCAAGCTAGAATGCTTGATTTACATTTTGTAAACTGAAACACTTTTTAACCTTCTGTTAAAATCAACGTCAGGGAATAGGTTAAGGAAATACATTTTTACTCTCTTCTAATTAACTATGTGTTTGTTACCAGCCGAAAAATTCATGATTGAGGTAACTGAAGATGAAGCCAACAAGAGGCCTCAAGATGAGTTCAACTTTGAACTGAAAGCGACGGCCATTTGCAAGGAAGATGCGAGAGACAACGCCACAAAGGACCTTGGATTCCGCATGAGGAAGCCCGATATCCAGATCTCGGTACTGACACTTTTTCAGGCTTATATGAAACGCATACTTTTAGTAGGGATTCATTGGGCGTATGTAGCCCCAGAACCCCATGCTTGTTGTAAGACAAAGACTTAGTTGGGTTTCCGGTACTTTTAGCAATATTCCAGCAATATCACGAAATGGGCTTCACACATTGTACCGATGTAGGGATTCGAATGTAGGTCTTAAACGAAGGATTTAACCACTAGGCTGAAAGAAGAAAGAAGCATTCAAAAGTACAGTAAACTACGGTTATAACGAACACGCGTATAACGAACTGGCGGATATAACGAACTTACTTTTTAGTCCCGACTATGTGCTGTAGTTATGCTGTATATATGCTTATAACGAACTACGGTTATAACGAACTAAAAATAGTAGTCCCTTTGAGTTCGTTATAACCGTAGTTTACTGTAACAGTGCACGCCAACCTGGCTGATTGTTTGTCACCCAATGGCGTGGACATGTCATCATGCTGATAACCAGTGATTTACAGGCTATGACTTTATTATTAATGACCGCCTCCGTGGTCTAATGGTAGAGCGTCCGCCTGGAGAGCGGAAGGTCCGGGGTTCGATCCCCAGCCGCGTCATACCAAAAGACGTTAAGAGATGGTACTTGTTGTTACCCTGTCTGGCGCTCGGCATTAAGGGGCTAAAACAAGGACTGGTCGGCTCGGAGTCAGTATACTGTGTCCGAGTGGGGTATCTCAGTGGGCTAGCACTATAAATCGGCATCAGTCCGGACTAGTACAAGCAGCCACACACACACGCATGCACGTCGCTATATAAGTGCAAAAATCTTGGACGCGACGTTAAACCCCATTTCACCTCACCTCACCTTAATTATTAATATGCTACCATGAAATGGCTGGAATATTGCTGACTATCGTGAAAATCAGCGTGTGCCTATTTTCAAGTGGTATCAACGACTACATATAATACGGGCCTGTATCCATCGGGAGGTTTAAGGTGAACCATTTGCATTTCCTGAAGTTGGTGTGTGTTTAATGAGGGTTTTGTTCACTGGATGCCTTGAAAAATAACAGCTCCTTTCCAAGAAAAGAATGTAACTTGAAGCAATAACAAATATTTCGTTTCCAACATAATTCCACCAGCACCGGGGCGGTGGGGTAGCCTAGTGGTTAAAGCGTTCGCTCGTCACGCTGAAGGCACGGGTTCGATTCACCACTTGTACAATGTGTGAAGACAATTCCCGGTGCCCCCCGCCGTGATATTGCTGGAATACTATCAAAAGCGGCGTAAAACCATACTCACTCACCCCACCAGCACCCCATCCAGAAGGTGAAATGGGGTTTAACGTCGCATCCAAGATTATTGCACTTATATAGCGACGTACGTGTGTGTGTTTGTACTAGTCCGGACTGATGCCGATTTATAGTGCTAGCTCACTGAGATATCATGCCGCAGTTTAACATGAATACCCCACTCAGAAACAGTATACTGACTCCGAGCCGACCAGTCCTTGTTTTAGCCCCTTAATGCCGAGCGCCAGACAGGGTAACAACAAGTACCATCTTTAAACGTTTTTTGGTATGACGCGGCCGGGGATCGAACCCCGGACCTTCCGCTCTACGGGCGGACGCTCTACCACTAGACCACGGAGGCGGTCCTCAATCCAGGAGATAATCCTAGTAGAATTGTTTAGAAGAACTCTACTTAATCAGCGTCTATCAATCTCGAACTAAGTAGACCTACAGAGTCAAAAATTAGGGGATAGGGTAAAAATGAACGAAAAATGGTAAGGCATATGTCTTAACATATATTGATATCTACAACCAGGGTCCGGCGACCTGCTCCCTCTCTGATACAATCCAAGCGGAGCTCTCCTTTAAGAATCCACTGACTGTGCCGCTGTCAGGGTGTTCGGTGTCCTTTGCAGGAGGATTCGACCTTGTTGGTATTGCGTCAGATACACTGTATTTCAGGTAAGATTAATGATGCAATAGTTTGAACATATCAGGTCCTTCCTGGTACTGGTTACACTGTGCTGGGTTGCGTCACTTGGTGGTGCCGGGATCTGCTGATTGTGTTATTGATACTTGGTTCGTCGGCACCATACCTGTGCGCTCGTGGTATTCGCTCGATTTCACCCACGTGAAGGAGACAGGTCACCAAGGAGACAGGTCGTAGGCGTTTACCACTTTGATGAAACCTATGGCACGTTATAGCAGGGACAACCAAGAAACGTGATCTGGGATTCGAATTTCTGATTATTGGATTCTGTAACGAATAAGGGACATAACTCTGCATGACGATTGCAGAGCCCTGAAACGAATGTCAAACGAATGTCTGACGTCCCATGTTCTATACACATACAGAGGTCATTTAGTCCTCTGGGTCCCTAGTTTCATTGCATTTAGATCTTCTGTTGCTTCGGCCCTGTTCCACACTGAAGCACGTTTAGCACATACGGTGTCTCCTTGGGAAAGTTATCAATATGAGTCTGTTTACTTATTATAGCAATGAATGGGTACCAGTAGAATGAGATGGTAATCTGACTGTTAACCTATGCCTCACAGACTGCTTGAGTGTATACTCCCAAGGGAGCTGAGAATGAAAATCTAGTGCAGTAGTCCAGTGACCAGAGTAATAATAAGATCCATCATTGTCCAAAAGCATTTGACCAGTTATGAATTGGAAAGTGTGATATTCAAATTAACAATTTAATTTAACTTTAAAACTAACTTCTTTTCAGCAACATTGCCGCTGGTGAGACCTGGAGCAGAACATTCGACCTCCTTCCCAAAGAGGCTCCCCGTGGCCAGGCTGAAAGAGCTCTCTGTGTGGGATTTGACTCAATTCAGCTTACTGGTATCGCAGGAAAATATTCTACGAAACTTGTGTAAAATACTCCCGGAAAATGAAGTCAATGTAATCAGGGCATGCAGTTATCAGATGTGGATCAATGATTTTGAAAGGTTTGGGGAGGGGTGCACCCAGCGTCTCTGAATCCGCCAGGGAGATATATTGTAATTGATGTATCTAAAATTATCTATTCTTTATCAAAATCATGCTAGACGTGTGAGGTACTTTTGCAGGACTATATTTTCAAGGGATGAGTTTTGTTCTTTAAGGAAACTTGGTTTGTTTTGAATTTTTTAGATTTGTCACTGATCCAGATTGATACAAAACACTATCAATTATTTGCACAAATGGAAATCGTTGTTTTTTTCCTGTAAAAGAATGTATGAAGTCCATGAATGGGCCTAGTTGCTCCAAAGAAATCAAATGGTTTCAAACGAAAGTAACGTTAGAGAGGTCATGGCAGTTGTTGGACTGAGAGTGATCTTTGGCCAGGGAGAATGTGGTAGTGATGACGGTGGAGTTACCTCCCGTAGACTAGGAAATGAACCACCCAAGTCCATGTCCGATTTCCAAACGTCTTCAGTTTTATGTTAACGTGTTCAGGATTCACTGTCACATTTTATTTTTCGTGTGTGTGTGTGCGTGTGTGTGTGTGTGGGGGGGGGGGGGGGGGGGGGGGAGGGGAGTGTGTGTTTGACACCACAGTTGGCAATACTCCCGACAGTTGATGGGGGATAAACCATGTCTGAGTGAGTATGGTTTTACGACGCTTTTAGCAATATTCCAGCAATATCATAGCGGGGGGACTCCAGAAATAGGCCTCACACATTATACCCATGTACCAGCCTTCGGTGTGTCGAGCGAACGCTTTAACCACGAGGCTACCCTAGTATAGCTAACTACTGTGATGTGAAATCGGCCAAGTCACAGAGCATGGCCGCCTCATCCACATCTACTGGGGCTGTTGCCTGGCCTGCTGGTGAGTGGTTACCCACTCCATCTGGATCATCTCTGCGTGTGTTTTTGCGTGCGTGCGTGCGTGCGTTCACGTGTGCGTGAGTGATTGCAACAGTGGATATGGTGGGACCAGCGAAGTCTGAATATCCATCTTGCTGGCTTTAAATCTGGCAAAAGTCCGAAGTAGTGAAAGGACCCACAGTGCATGCTATATATAAATAATCTGAGTGAGTGAGTATGGTTTTAAACCGCTTTTAGCAATATTTCAGCAATATCACGGCGGGGGACACCAGATATGGGCTTCACACATTGTACCCAATCGAACCCGGGTCTTCGGCGTGACGAGCGAACGCTTTAACCACTAAGCTACCCGACCGCCCCTAAAATAATCTGAACCGACCTCAAAAACCATTTCCCCTCACCTCACACACAAGATGACATGCTGGTCCCAGCTGCAAAAGCCACCTTGAGCCCACAGGGTGTGAATGGTTTTACGCAGCATTTGGCAATATTCCTGAAATACCAGACAGGGACACCGGAAATGGTTGAGCCCATAAGATGGGTTAGGGGTTGTGGCAAGTGAACCGACTTGACACCATCCTCAACTGAGTCGAGATCTTCATCCTCATTGACAATACACATGATGCAGATGTGGTTGGGCAACACGGTGAGTGAGTGAGTTTTAATGCCACAATAAACAGTATTTCAGGTATATCAGGCCGCCATCTTGAATTTGGGTAAATTTGTCAATAGTCGAAAACGTTCAGTAGCTCTGGTGAATAACGTTTTAGAAACATAATATGGCTATTTCGTAATACAAAACAGGCTTTTTTCATCAAAAGATTGAACCTCATGTGAAATATGGAAGATATATTGATAAGTGGTAGCCATATTGGATTATGCACTTTACACATATTTCCAAACTTGGATTGCTTGGGACTAATAGTTTGTGGTTTTGAGGGCCTTGTGGAAATGCATTATGGTGAAATAAATTCTGTTGCAATTTGTTCCAAGTTGAGTGAAAATATGGCCTGGATTGCCTGGACTATTGGCGGGGGATGAAGCCCAAAGGGATGCAGGTCTTTGATGAAACGGTCCCACTGCCTACTAGGGGTGACTATTGGTCTGGAAATCACTATTGCAATAACTATTCATATTGAAAGAAACTATTGCAATAACTATTGGTATTGAAAGCAACTATTGCGATAAATATCGATAGTTTTCAGTGTATCATTTAAGATGGATTTTAGAGCTGAATTAAATCTTGGAACTGAAGTTTCCTTTGAATGTGATAACAATAACAACAAATAAAAAGTTAAGTTTGAGATATGACTGATTTGTTGTTTTTTTACCCTAATAATTTAAGAAAAAGAAAATCCATGTGTAAATTACTACCACTCATGATCAAAAGAAAAACAAATTTGTACAGCATTGCATGTAATTAATTGATGTATTAAATACAATCGAAACTATCGATATTCCTAACTTAAATCGATACTATTGATCGGAAACTGATTTAACAATCGATTTATGGACTTTAAGTGCTTCCCAATAGCAATATATCGATATTTCCATTTATCGTGACACCCCTACTGCCTACATTGATTGTTTGTTGTTTATCACAACACTCAGCAATATTCCAACCACATAAGTCAGTAAATCTTTGCTCTTCACTGTAGATAAACCAGATATTAGATTTGCTTGTTTGTTTGTTGTTTAACGCAGCATTCAGCAATAGTCCAGCTATATGTCGGCGGTCTGTAAATAATCAAATCTGGACCAGAGAATCATGAACATCAATCCAAGCATATTGAGTGAGTGAGTGAGTTGGGTTTAACGCCGCTTTTAACACTATTCCAGTCATATCACGGCGTGTCAGCTTAATGAGGGAGGAATGCCCGAAGTGATGCAGGTCTCAGACATTTACCACTTTGGTGAAACCCACGAGCACGGGTATGGTGCTGACAAACCTAGAAACATAATCGCCAAGCATATTGGATACGATGACAGGCTTCAAGCAGGTCACTGATCCATTTCGTCAACTCTAATGAGCAGCACAGATTCCTAAGGACTTATCTTACCCATTCCCAAAGATGTATGGTGCTAACAAATCAAGAGTGAGTGAGTGAGGTTTTACATCGCTTTTAGTAATATTCCAGCAACATAACAGCGGGTGATACCAGAAATGGGCTTTACACATTGTATCCCTGTGGGGAATCGAACCCGGGTCTTTGGCGTGACGAGCGCTTTAAGTATATACTAGGCTATCCCACTGCCCCTAAGAAATCAATAAACACAATAAGGTAAAACATAAGATTCAACCCTAAGATCATGTTGCACCCCAACCACCCCCACCACCCCCACCAAACACACACACACCCACACACACACCACACACACACACACACACACAAATATTATCAAGAGGGTAAGGCGGGGCACAGGTGGCCCAGTCTTCTAAGTTGCTGTGCAGAGTTGCATCCCTTGGGCACCTGGTTCGCCCCGATTAGGTTTCTAGGTTTGTCAGCACCATACCCGTGCTCGAGGGTTTCACCGAAGTGGTAAATGTCTGAGTCCTGCATCACTTCGGGCTTTCCTCCCACATTAAGATGACAGACTGCGATATAACTGTAATACTGTACTGTTAAAAGCGGTGTTAAACCCAACTCACTCACTGACTCAGGAGGGTAAGAATGAAAATAGATGAAGCCTGTAAATGAAGCCTGTAAATCCACCAGTCAAACCAATGACTGATATCATGAGTATTGCGCCACAAACTGTAAAAAATTAATGCGAGTGGTCTTTGCTCGCTTTTAACATCGCATTTATATCAACAATAAGACATTTTGGATAGCAGAAATACCAACTTAGACAAACGCTGAAAACAAAAAAACTTTGTATTCCACATCATTGTTTATTGAGCTGCACTTGTAACAAGTATATAAACAATGTCATTCAAACACTAATCACATCCTGTGAATTGTCACTGCTGGGGTCAAGACAAGCGTTCTACTCTCTCATGTCATCAGTGATCACACCTGCAAGTCCAGACAGACGCCACCCAACACGGTGTCTTTGCTCTTTGCGACTGCGTCAAAGGCCGACATGAGCCAGCGCGCACGTATTGTTTTAGCTGAAGTACTCTACTCAGCGCTAATAAGCGGTGCTATTTGGTGTGTGATTGGATTAATGTAAGGTTAGATTAAGGTGAGGATCCTCCTGTAAACCTGACAGAGCTCATTTTGTTTAGATATAAATCCACTGATGCTTGAGAGGAGGGGGTGTCGCATTCATATTGAGTCGCATTTTTGGCTAGGGGCCAGCGGTCGCATTCTTTTGGAGACGCATTAATTTCACGTTTTACAGTATTCAATGACTCACAATCAAACAAATCACGGTACCTGACCAACCCGACTCCGGCTACTGCCTCGGACAACACATCACAGGATGCTGGGAACCATCGAACAACCCCCAGGGGTCAAGTAAATTCAAACAAACTGGAATATTTTCCAAAGTTTTATTTCAGCAAAATCCATGTGACACCAATTTTGCAGATACATGAAAGTCATAATAATCATCATCATCATGATGTGTACACTGCCTGAATGTAGTCAGGCCACCATACAACACAGAACTGACAGGTGAAAACACTCAAACACAATCGCAGCACCAGTTCAGATGTCATCTGCTAAACAATGTTCAATAACTCGACAGTAAAGCTGTTAATCCTCAATTAACTAACAGAATGCATCTGATAATTTATCATTTATCTTTTATCTTTCATTGGGAAGATGTATCAGCCATAATTTAGTTTTCAGGAAAAGTGGCATTCTTGTGAAATCAAGGCATGATTATTACCATAGCAACACATTTCCAATTTTTCGCCTTACACGCAAAGGGAGCAAAATAAATAAATAAAATTAGCATAAATCTATTTTTATTTGCCCAACCAAATCTATCTCAAGAGGGATTTTTATAAAAATAAAATAATAACGATACAAATAGTTAAAAATCTAAATTAACAAAAGTAATTAATGAATGAATTTTAAGTATCATAGAGAATAATGCCTGAATGTTACCCTATAAATACCAAACATCCAGCTAAAAAAAACCAGTAAACAAATAAACCCAAGCGACTTCATACCAAATAAAAAAGTCCTGGGCGACACAAAATTATTTTTATATATATTTCAGCAAAGCCAAGCAAATTCATCATCAATTTACATAAACCCTGATTAAACAGTGTGGGTGAAGTGTTGTATATCTTGCAGTATTGAATAATTGAAGAGAGAATTGGGGCAAAAAAATGACCACAAAGATTTCATGTATTTTCTTGCTATCCTTGCCTCTAGCATCAGATTCACTACCCACCTGGTACCACCAGTTGCTGTGGTTCTGATAACCCTTTTCATCCTAATTTGGTGCAGACAACGATTTTTTTCGCACCTGAATTTCGACACGTCTTTCAACCTGTACGTAATTTAAACATTTTTCTGAACCCCAAAGTTTAAAAAAACCATCTAACCAGCATTATTATTACACCTAACAAATCGGTTATCAAGATTACAGTATTGTCAAAAAGAAATCCCTCAAATCTGTTCTGCATGCTTACAACAATCAGTTTTAAAATTAATTGACTAGCATTGAACATAAAACAATGATCCTACAACACTAACCCGAGGAGATTATTATTTGGTTTATGAAAACTCAAAACCTGAAAAAAAAGAAACTCCCCATCTTACAGTCTCTTAATTTCAGCAAATGAATATAAATGCAAAACCACATCATTCGACTGTCTCCCATCAGCACTGAGAGTAACTGTTATCTTCTTTGGAAAGTTAAATGCTTCATATGAAAGACTACATTTCCTAATTTCTTGTCTCAAATTGAAAACATTGAGCTGAGTTTATGCTGCGTAAAATGGTATTCCGAGGTTCAGCTTAATGTATGAGAAAAGCCCAAAGTGATGCGAGTCATAGGCGTATGGTGCTGACAAACCAAGGATCATAATCAGTACGAAGCTGAGATTTAAAGACACAGTAAGCAGATCCTGGCGCTAGCAAGGGAGGCAACCCAGCAAAGTGAAATTCTGGGCAACCCACACCATAGACGGTTCGTGTCTTTACAGAGTGAGATATTCTTGGTTTCTCCACAGTCAGAAATATTACATTGTGATAAATCAAACAATTTGAGATTGATACAAACTACTCAGGTTTGTCCTGCATATTTGTTTAGTGTTATTCAAACTCCAAACTTATTGCCTGTATTCTGCCCAACTTTTGAAAATCAAAGTGTTAAATTAGCAACTGTGACATATACTACTCAAAACAAGTTAAAGAACACCCACAATTGGAAGGCAGTGTGTTGCAATACCCACCAGCCGTGACAGGTTGACTATAGTCACAGTAAATAATCAAGTGTTCCTTACTTCTTTTGTGTAGAATATTTATTACGCTACAGTATCAGCATACTGCTACATCCTGATACAAACAGGAAACACACTTTCACATATCGTTCAATATCGTTCTCAATATATGACACATCACACACAGAAACCCAGGACGTGCCAGAGATATTTACAGTTGCCCTCTTTAACGCCTAGCAATAGGAAATTTGGTTGCAATATTTCATACTCCACGATTATTTGACAGAACAATTGCAGAAAAGTAGCACATACAGTAAAGTAGAAGGGTCATGATTCATCAACGAAAATCAGTCGACCTCATAATCAACAACCGATAGAAGTCCTCATGACATGTAGACACATGGTTGGACAATTAATTATGTTTATACATGGCCACAAGTATAGGCAGTGAGAAACATGAAACTGCACATTGATATACAGGAAATACATTTGTACAAATAATTCACTGATAACCAACAGTCGTGACACTAAGTCGTCGAGGAAGGTGTCCTATGTCTTGCATATTCCCAGTGTCACACTGTTACACATTGTCACACACTGCACAGGTCTAGATAGTGGGTCTGTCCACCAGAGACAGTTGGCATGGTGTTCTGCAAGCGTTCCAGCGGAACAACGTAGAACACTGACGTATGTGCTGTGTCTCCCAGCCCCAGGAAGGAATATCCTATCATTAGTCTGTTCTGTGTATTGATGTCTCCTGTTACAATGTTTTTTGCTGCAGAGGCTATTCAAAGTTTCAAAGCAGCTCATCCTCTTTGTTTTCAGAGAAAACAGACTCCCATAGATGACAATTAATATCCAGCAAAGATGTCCTCCTCCTCTTGGAGAACCAATCAACATGATCGCCACTCTCTATATATCAAAATACCAGACTCATCCAAGTGATCTTCGCTCAAAGCCTTGTTAGCCATGGTAAAGCACAGCCACAGATCCCGGTGTAGAACATGCCGTTGTCTTCATGCGAAGCTGCGTGTCCCAATGGGTATTTCACGACAATCTCTTGGTGCTTTTAACACGATGGACCTCTGAACATGTCCTCATCCAATGCAGCATCAATGAAAGATATTGGGAAAAAAATCTTTTCTCAAACAAGTTTCTTTACATTTAAACTTCATTCTGCTTCTCCAAGATCTGTTTTTCATGTTATCCTCCAACCCTAACAAACACAGAGGGTTTACTCTTCATCCTGTCCACAAAATATGTATAACTGTTCTACATATTCAAGAAAACAATCATCCTCCGTGTCCACAATGTACAACAAGGTGTCCCCTGTGCTGGCAATTGGCTCACTTCAAATCAACCAAAAGGCACAATTTCTAACCTAATTCATACGTAATCTGTACAAAAATAAATATATCTGTACAATTGTCACAAAACAACCCCAGGGGAGGGGATCCAACTGTGGAATTAAGAAGATTGGTCACAATGCATTACCATGGTAACGCATTATTTCACTTGAAATGTGCTTCCCCCTTGCTTTGATGCCACCCATGCTGTGAAGATATCCCTGAAACACATAAAATATGATTTTTAAAAACAGGAAAATATGGTCATGAACAAACTACAAGGTACAGGATCCTGTTCCACAAAGGGATCTTAGCACAATGATTACCGTAAGCCTTGTTAAAGGATGGGAGTTACGAGGATCTTAGCACTATGACTACCGTAAGCCTTGTTAAAGGATGGGAGTTACGATCATCTTAGCACTATGACTACCGTAAGTCTTGTTAAAGGATTGGAGTTACGAGGATCTTAGCACTATGACTACCGCAAGCCTTTGTTAAAGGATGGGAGTTACGAGGATCTTAGCACTATGACTACCGTAAGCCTTTGTTAAAGGATGGGAGTTACGATGATCTTAGCACTATGACTACCGTAAGCCTTTGTTAAAGGATGGGAGTTACGATGTTCTTAGCACTATGACTACCGTAAGCCTTGTTAAAGGATGGGAGTTACTATCATCTTAGCACTATGACTACCGCAAGCCTTTGTTAAAGGATGGGAGTTACTATCATCTTAGCACAATGACTACCGCAAGCCTTTGTTAAAGGATGGGAGTTACGATGATCTTAGCACTATGACTACCGTAAGTCTTTGTTAAAGGATGGGAGTTACTATCATCTTAGCACTATGACTACCGCAAGCCTTTGTTAAAGGATGGGAGTTACGATGATCTTAGCACTATGAATACCTTAAGTCTTTGTTAAAGGATGGGAGTTACGATGATCTTAGCACTATGACTACCATAAGCCTTTGTTAAAGGATGGAAGTTACGATGATCTTAGCACTATGACTACCGTAAGCCTTTGTTAAAGGATGGGAGTAACGATGAACATAGCACTATGACTACCATAAGCCTTTGTTAAAGGATGGGAGTTACGATGTTCTTAGCACTATGACTACCGTAAGCCTTGTTAAAGGATGGGAGTTACTATCATCTTAGCACTATGACTACCGCAAGCCTTTGTTAAAGGATGGGAGTTACTATCATCTTAGCACTATGACTACCGCAAGCCTTTGTTAAAGGATGGGAGTTACGATGATCTTAGCACTATGAATACCGTAAGTCTTTGTTAAAGGATGGGAGTTACGATGATCTTAGCACTATGACTACCACAAACCTTTGTTAAAGGATGGGAGTTGAAAAAAATCATCTTCTCCATTGTATTTTATTTATAACTACTCAAAATCTTCAAACTAAAACAAGTGATAATTATCTGATTATTAATTGGCTGATTATATAGTTTGTTTTTACAAAAAACTTGATACACGTCACTTAATAGTATTGGTGGAATATATTTCAAAATATCCCAATAAATCCATCCAAATACTAAAGGTTGGTCTCTGTATGGTATCAATGTTATGATGAGCCTGGCAATTCAGTGAAGCACTCATAAAATCTGACCTGCAATGACTGACAACACACTCGTTGCTGCAGTATTCGCTGTCCCAGCCGGGGTTGTCGATGGCCTGGTTGATACAACCGTTACGGACACACAGGCCGTTGCTTTGAGCTCGAGTATCCATCTGGTTCATGTTCTGAAAAACATGCACATGGCCATTAATACCAATTCCATTTATAACATTATTTCATTTTAACATGTCCAGTGGGATGAATGAGTTAGATGAACAACAATTATAAATTCTGAATACAAAATTACTACATATGTCAGTGTATATATACCCTTGTCATATACTAAATATGGTACTGACTGTAAACATAATTTGGAGAAATTTTGAAAAAGCTCACGACAATCAGTATGATCAGTATGACTGTCTCCGACTGTTCAAAGCCCTGGCTTAGTAAAACAAATTGTCCAGCAAATCAGCTGATAACCCTACATTAACGCTATGACAGACTGAAAACAGCAAAAACAGTTCTAGGCCTCGATCCACAAAGTGCTCTTAGCCCTAAAACTGTTGTAAGTCTATGTTAAAGTATTGGAGTTTCCTACGACTAAGATCGCTTCGTGGAATGTGCCCCCGGGTCACGTTCAACAAGCGACCATAACACTACAACTGTTGTAAGTCTATGTAAAAGTATGGGAGTTACGATCGTTTCAGTTCTACGATCACTTTATGAACACAGCCATTCCACAAAGTGATCTTAGGGCTACAACTGTTGTACTGCCAATGCTTTTACACAGATTTGCAATCATCATAAGATTGCTTTGTTGAACTGGGCCAGGGTTAGGATTGGTTGGTTTGTTCTTTTACGCCGCACTCAGCAATATTCCAGCTATATGACGGCGGTGTGTAAATAATCGAGTCTGGACCAGACAATCCAGTGATTAATATCATGAGAATCGATCCACGCAATTGGGATCGATGACATGCATCAACCAAGTCAGCGAGCCTGACCACCCGATCCCGTCAGTCGCCTCTTACGGCAAGCATGGGTTGCTGAAGACCTATTCTACCCCGGAATCTTCACTGGTCCCAGGGTTAGCACAAGTTGCTATGGTCTAGGTCCTTGTTCCACAAAGCGATCTTAGCGCTAAGATGAACACAACTCCCACACTTTAACATAAACTTATGACAGTCATAGCAGTATAATCACTTTGTGGAATGGAGCCAAGCTCTGGAAGATGATAATGAGTGCATACTTGGCAGTAATCAGACTGCTGATACGTCATGCCGTTATTCTGTTGCTGAGGCGCCATGTTCTGCATCTGATACGGTGGCTGATGAGGCGGGCTGTTGTAGCTGCTGGTCATCATCGGCTGTTGCTGTTGCTGAGGCGGGCTCGGCATGTTCACATGGGTCATCTGGGACATCATGCCCATAGAGTTACCTCCCCCTGACATGCTCATCTGGCTGATGTTCGGAGGCGAGGGCGATTTTTCCGACATTGAGCTCGCTTCGTCAGCTGCAGCCTGGGAACAGAATAAAAGGTTCTGTACATCGAATAAATCACAAATATTTTGTCATCTTTTATAAATATGCTTGTAGGTTCTTTCCGCTTTGAACAGTATTCCAGTTATATCATGATGTGTCAGTTAATTGTGTGAATATTATGGGTATGGTAATGCAGACCTAGAAACATAATCGGAGCGAACCGAGATTTGAAGCCTTGACCATAGGTTTCTGGCATGCCCAAGGTGAACTGGGGTGCCTAAGACGACTGGGCCAACATGCCCTCGCCACTTTGAAAGAGTATTTCAGCAATATCACAGCATGTCAGCGTAATGTGTGAGGAAATGTGAAGGTATGATATTGAATTATCAAATATACATAATAACTATTTCATACCTGTGACACCTGACTTGCTCGATATGCTGCCAACTGCTTCAGATATTCTTTTTTAGCAACCTCTGTTTTCTTCTTGTACACATTTTTGTTGTCAGGTTCAAGACTGTCCCACATGGATGCCACAATCTTCGACACATCTCCAAAGCTCTTGTTCGGACTCTGACCCTTTATGGCCGCTTGGGTGTCACGGAAAAAAAGAGCGTAGGCCGAAACAGGTCTGAAACAGGGAAGACATGAAAATAAACAAAACGATCATGTTTCTTTCATACCAACAAAATCAGTTTTATTAACCCACATTTCTAAAGTTCATTGATAATGTGTATGCAGCTGATTTTTCTTATTAGTTTTCACTGTGCCTTGTAATAAAATATAATTCTAAATGAATAAAATATATACAATACAACAAAATCAAGGACATAATTCACAGAGAAAGATTATTTCCTTTTCAGGTTGTGTAGCGATGCATCACTTGGGCAGCAGAGATGTACATTAACAGTTTCAGTTTTAATAACGTTGCATAATTCGACAGCATCCATCCTCTTCCGTTCCAAAATAAAATAAGTTTTATTTGTCAAACATTTCTTGGCTAAAAGTGAAGAGCTGGAGGATTCTGTCACTTCTAACAACTAGGGATTTGAATAAGCTGGTGCTTTCAAATTAACACTGCATAATTTGTTTTGGAGTTTTTCTTTTCCAAAATTTTGAACATTTGTTCCCTGGTTTGAAAAGCAAATTCTTGCCTTGTCTTAGTGAGTGAGTATGGTTTTATGCCGCTTTTAGCAATATTCCAGCAATATCATGGCGGGGGACACCAGAAATGGGCTTCACACATTAGACCCATGTCGGGAATCGAACCCGGGTCTTCGGCGTAACGAGCAAATGCTTTAACCACTAGGCTACCCAACCGCCCCTGCCTTGTCTTATCCAGAAGCCACTGTTTGTTTACTGTTACTGGTGGAGTCTTTCAATTTTCTTATAAGCAATATTCTGCACATATAATGTTAACAAATATGATGTAGCAGGTTTCTGTGGGCCAGTGGTAGATGCTGTACAATATGAAGGGGGAACTCGAATGTCATAAAAGTTAATATTAAACAGATTATCTTAGAAACATTAATTCTCTGAAGATCACATTTCAGGTACATACTTTCATTTCTTAGATCAAATGATTTTTAACTGAATCCCTTCTCTTCAAGATGGCTACGTAAGTTGGTCCCTCATTCTCACTAGAACTTCCAACATGACCAATTTTCATATCCACTTTTATAATGCTGGTTTATATATTTTTGCATATGATGTTTGATATGAAAAATCTGATAAAAAATCTGTTTATATTGTTACATTTCAGTTCTTCTTGTATGAAATGAAAGCTATGTATGCTACCGTATTCATCGTATTAAATGCCCCAAAAAGCACCCCACCCCCCAACTTAGACCAATACTACTGGTAACCCCAATACCCACTAAGACCAAAAATGTACCGGTACACGACAGCCAATATTTGTTTAGTACAGTTAAAGTTGTTACAGAGAACACCACCACAGAACAGAAGTTTATCATTGTTACAATTGTCCAGAATGTTTTAGTTTCATTGACGTTTGAGTAAGTATGTTCACTATCATTAGATCTCTGAAAACAAATTTAACTTTGTATGGTTTAAATATGCACCCCTTTTGTCAATTTTCAACGCACCCGTAACACTTATTACAGTGAAGACAGTATCACAAACAACACAAGACTTCTTGTTATTCGAGAGATTCAAAAAATTTGAATGAAATTATCTAAGTTTCCGTTCTGACAGATATACAGGACAGATATACAATGGTTTGGGTCTCATCTGCATAGAAGGGTGTCATTCACCTGTCAAACTGTCAATCAATAAGATCTGGATATGATAACACCGTCATTTCTCCACAGACCAAACACAGCTATCCCATCATTTCCATATATCCGAATGGCAACGTATCTAGATGGAATAGATCCGTTTATCTCCAAGTCTCAATCTCATAGCCAGGATATCATTTGCATTTGAAAAACAATTATCTTCGAACAAAAAACATGGCAGAAAGCACTGAAGAATAAAACATAAATTTTCAATGAATTGATAATTCATAGAATACAAAATACGAAAGGACTTAAAATGATGAGAGATTATGGGTTTGGCGTTAAGGTTTGGGTGAATTTTGAAAACACATCGTCTTGACATTGTGCAACTCAGTAAATACCCACAATGCATGTCCAGCCATTTTCAGCCTGTTCGTTCCACAATGGATGGCCTGTCAAAATTGTTTACGGAAAGGACACCAGTCTACGGAAGACAAACTGAAATTCTTCTGATTTGTTTGTACAAGTTAAATGTAAAATTTCGAAATAGAGAGTCCAGTCTTAACATACATAACCAAAGAGGAGTTTAAATATTTATTCGATGCGATTATGTTTGCAATGCTGGTTGGAGAAATGGCTTGCTTCTTGACAGTTGAGTTTATTTTTTGTTTTCTGTTTGAGCTCAAAATGACAATATGCTCCTTCACAAACACATTTTGTTTGAGGAAATTCTACAAAGGTTCTTCTAAATTTGAAGAATGAAATAATGAAAAGAAAAGAATGTCCAGTCTATCACAGCACTCATGTGTCTACACGGAAGTCATTGCACAAAAAACATTATTCTCTGATGCAAGATAATGAAAAAAAATGAAATATCAGACCCAAAATGTGAAACTTGTTGGAGAATCAATGTGAAATATGAACTTGCTACAAGGTTATGAGAACTCTATTTGCACATCCTTTATTTATAGTCTGTCTGAACTGAAGCTCCAGGCGTGTTCTAGCTGTTGGAAATACCCCCTTCAAGTAACGGCAAAATGAAAGATTGAGCGAGAACAGGAATGGTGTGTTGTTATGTCAAGCTCACATGGAGTGAGTGAGTGAGTATGGTTTTACGCCGCTTTTAGCAATATTCCAGCAATATCACGGTGGGGGACACCAGAAATTGGCTTCACACATTGTACCCATGTCGGGAATCGAACCCGGGTCTTCGGCGTGACGAGCGAACGCTTTAACCACTAGGCTACCCGACCGCCCCTGCCTTGTCTTATCTAGAAGCCAATCTCACAAGGAACAATGTCTGAATATGTTGCTCCCTGACAAAATGAAGCAATACTGATCACAACAAATATAATCTGAAAAATAAATACTTTACAGAACTGATGAAAATGTTAAAAAGTCACTGATATCTGAAATATTGACATTTATCATTAATTACAGGTTTCTCGAGTTTGAGATATATATCGTTTGATATCATTTCATAATTTAGATTGGCTGCTTGGACGTATATGAAGTCAGCTAGAGATTGGATGACATCTTATTATAAACTACTTTTATCAGTTAGACAAAAGGGTAAAACAAGGTCCTAAGTCTTACGTCTAAAGTTTCTAAATATTTCTTTAGACAGTTATAAAACAAACTTAACCGTATATTTGAATGAGTGAAATGAACACCTTGTCTGTGTTTATTGTTATATGAAACTTTATGAAATAATTGGAATTTTTTCAGAGGATAAATAAGATCTACCCATGTTTCATTTGCCATCAAACATATCAGTAGGACTGGCTATAGATCATACAGATCCATAATCTCTAATTAAATATCGATCAATTATGGATAAATATTTCAGAAGTAACTTTTAGCAAATATGCAAGAAAATCCCGAAAGAAATCAACATACTTCCTGCCACTGGTGAGTAGTGAAAAATTTATACATAGATTATTTTGCGGACATGTGAGATATAACAAAAACAGTTGCTTTTTGTCTTCGACAATTGACATGACTGACAACAAGTGTGTTTCCGTCTATCTAAACTTTTTTTCATCACAACAGTTGATGTAAGTTATTATTGATTACAACAATTTCATATCGATAATCGGTAATATTTCTTCCCATCGATGATAATTCTGATTCTCAATACTTTTAGCCAGCCCTACATATCAGTAATCGATAAAACTCTCAAATATCCTTGCCAAAGTCACAAACAGATCAAAGTAGAGCAATATATTGTAATACATATCACAATACAGACTGAAGTATAGCAATATATTGTAATATACATATCACAATACAGACCGAAGTATAGCAATATATTGTAATACATATCACAATACAGACCGAAGTATAGCAATATATTGTAATACATATCACAATACAGACTGAAGTATAGCAATATATTGTAATATACATTTCACAATACAGACCGAAGTATAGCAATATATCGTAATACATATCACAATACAGACCGAAGTATAGCAATATATTGTAATACATATCACAATACAGACCGAAGAATAGCAATATATTGTAATACATATCACAATACAGACCGAAGTATAGCAATATATTGTAATTCATATCACAATACAGACCGAAGTATAGCAATATATTGAAATACATATCACAATACAGACCGAAGTATAGCAATATATTGTAATACATATCACAATACAGACCGAAGTATAGCAATATATTGCAAAATACATTCCAGGCACTACACAGTCTAACTAACACTACAACAGATCAGTTTCATGGCGTCACATCAGATGCTAAAACTATCATTTCACTCTGTGTCACACATTGTGGATCAGACACAGCTTATTGATACTGTATTCGCCATAATAAGCTCACTGGGGGCTTTGAAAATTGACAAGGGAGGACGCTTATTAAAACCAGTTAAATTTGTTCATCGAGCAGTAGTGAATAAACTTAGTTCAAAAATCTATGAAACAAAACCTTTTTCACGTATGGTAATAAGGCAATTCTATGGGGTTTATAAGAAACATTCGTATCTGCACTTGAATCGCATATGGCATTTATATGTTATAAAACGCATTCTGAAAAGATAACATAACCAGAGCACCAATCATACTAATTCTTACAAAAGCAAAACAAAAGGACACACACATTTGCCCCTAAGCATGATAATATTTTAATACTGGTTATTAATTCATCATGTTTACAGTTAATCATTGATCTTTGCCTACTTATGTTCTAAGACATGTTTTTTACCATTAGCCATGGTGGGTTGGCTAAAAAAAACTATAGACAAATGTATTCCCCGGATTGTGATTGTGTATCTCACAGAACTCTCTGACTACATTCTTTACCACAATAGCTATAAGATATTTAGCAGTGTAAATTTCAACATTACGATGGAAAAGGACTGACAATGAATTTGATCAATGAAAACTAAATGCTGCACAAAACCTCAGTGGTTTATGATTGCGTAGCTCTCATGATAAGAAGGATTTTCTTATTATTATTTCAAATGACACAGAAATGATATTTTGTAATATTAAGTCTTTGTGAATGGCTGGCTTCCGTCTTTGTATTTCAATAGTTTCTTACAGTTTTCTTTTTTCATGGGATTAATGTTGGCATGGAGAATTCTGGTTTGTTGCCAGCAAATATCGTGGTCAGGATGGTCATAATATGGTTATTTTTGTACATTTATCCAACCTTTTGTAAACATATGAGCATGTATATATATGTATACATACGGATCATCTAATGTAAAGAAAAACGTGGTTGCTATTTAGAAACAGTTGTCATGTATTCATCATCTTTCATGTTTTGTTACAACTATACGTCCCAGAAGTGGAAGCTTGTCCCGAGAGACAACTCCGTTGATTTGTCCCTAGGGGTATCTAATAGGCCCTATACCCTACCCTTTGTGTTGCTATGTTTCTGTAAAAATCTGTAATATAGACAGGCAAATATAAACTGTCAAGTTAACTTTTAGTCTTTGCAGGTGGCACTCATAAAGATTACTTACAGATCAGTGGGTGCTTATTGGATCAATGCGCCTAAGACAGTGACAATGGTGACTGTTTTTCTAAGTACAGGTAAAATATTCAGACAATTAAAATACACCAATTTTCAACCGAGGAATATTTGCCTGACTGTGGGTACAATGTTACCAATATTCAAGCTGTATCCTAGCAACCTGTAAATAATTGTGACAAAGCAGTGGTTGATGGAATGAGCAACGACAACATCCAGAGTAGACATTGTAACCAGCCAATCACCAATTGTCAGCACCTGACAGTGTTGTACTGCAGACCTATTCTGCCTCAGATCCACAAATAGATTTTCTTGATGGTAGTATGCAATTTACATGAGATTGTTTACATGAGCAATATTCCACCTATATGAGGGCGGTCTGTTAACAATAGAGTCTGGACCAGACAATCCTGTGATTGACATCATGAGCCCATGATGGATCCACGCAATTGGGATACGATGACATGCATCAACCAAGTAGAACGAGCCTGACCACCAGGTCCCAATAGTCGCCTCTTACGACAAGCACAGTCGCCTTTTACGGCAAGCATGGGTTGCTGAAGACCTATTCTACCCCGGATCTTCACGGGTCGTGATAAAGTGTGACAGTGTGACCCTGTGTGTCAGTACTTACTTCTGTGGTTCATTGGGGTCCTTCTTCTTCTTCTTCTTGGGAGTCTTCTGTTTCTTGGCAGTGGTTGGAGCTGACACTGTAGTTGTTGTTGTGGTCGTGATGGTTGACTGTACTGGGGCCTGTGCCGTTGTTACGGTGATGACACTGGGAGCTGTTGGGGCTGTTGTTGCTCCTGACCTCTTCAGGGACATCAACTGAAAGACGAAGACAATACAATCTCAAACTGACACAAGACTTGTTCTCCCAAAAGGGTTATAAACTTGGCCCTATTGCAAGAATCTACAGCATAACATTCACATATTTAGCCATTCAATTCTGTCCCCTTACACTACATTCACTTCAAAAGGGAACACATTTTAGATCTTTACCTAGTCAGGGCATTTAATCATTACCTTCACATCTTGCTTCCAAAGATTTACACAAAGATGTTTTCAATAACTCTCCCAGCCCCACAAAGAAGACCACTGAAGCAGTTCCTTAATGGCTGACCCTTAAAACAGTCACCCATGCTTACAGAGGGTTGTCCAGTGCAAATTGTTGAGGAGGGGGTCACACCAGTATGTGTTGGGGAGGGGGTCACGACAGAATGTCTTTAGGAGGGGGTCAAGGCAGTTTAGGGAGTTGGGGGTCATAATTGTCATGTGTTGGGGGGAGGAGATCAAGGTAGGAGGGTGGGTGAGTGGGCTGGCTTCAGTGGGTGGGTGGTTGGTGGTTGGTCATTGTTGTCATCAGTGGGGGTAAGTGGTATGTCAGAGGGGTCAAGATCGTCATACACAGGGGGTTATTTCATGTTTGTTTGTTGTTTAACACCGCACTCAGCAATACTGCAACTATACAATGGCGGTCTGTAATAATCAAGTCTGGACCAGACAATCCAGTGAGTGACAGCATGCATCATCCTTATCCTGTTAGTCGCCTCTTACGACAAGCATGGGTTGCTGAAGTGGGGGTTATGTAGAGGTAAAAAGCTTTATAAAATTGAGGTGGTCATAGTATACAAGTCCCAATGCTTTAAACCAATATCCAATGTACCACATACTGTAGTGTCCTTGAAAATATTGTCAAAACTTTTTTTAGAACAATAGTGACAATGTTTTGTTAAAGACCATCTAGAACGTGCTTTGTGGGAGTTGTGGTTGGGTGTTAGGGTCTGAACAACATACTTACACAAAAATATACCATTTCAAAACAATATGAACCAAACAACACTATCAACACTCTAGCAATTTAATTGTTGAGAACACTGGCCTGACACAAGGATAAAATACAATATGTTCTGCCATATGGGTTTTTTTTCAATTCAATTTCATTCAATTTTCACGACCAATTGAGCAAAATTAATTTGTCAAAATGTCCTTACCAAGCTGGGCTTTACAAACTAACACCATGATAACATACATTCCTGAAACATGGCAGCCACAACTCACATGACCACTCAAATTTGAAATATTTTTATAACTCTTATTTAAGTTTTATTCATAGCGTCCACGTGGCCTCCCTTTCAATGAAACAAGATTGAAGAATAAATCTCAGACTGCATAATACTCATATTTTAACTGCCGCATTGTGAGTTCACAGTTGCGAGCAGGTGAGCACACACACACGGAACCAAGATGGCCGCCAGTGAATGGATCACAAAGCCACCCCAAGACGGCCTTACAATTACATCTGGTTCTGTGAGTGCAGGGGCCGTACTCTGGGCTTTATCAACCGCTACAAGGAATTGTGGGAGTGCTCCGTCATGACCTGCAACTGTTTGTATGGCAACAAGTTCAAGCACTTGTTAACGTGGCAGATGCACATAATAGAACCGAAACCCCACCACATAAATAAAGTCAAAAACAATCTTGTGCAGATCTCCTATCTACTATCAGCCACAACTAACGTATTCTTGCATCCATCGTTCCCTCCATCACTGATGACTGAGAGAAAGCGTCCCCGAAATAAAGACGGGTTCAAATATCTTGCATTCATCTTAAATGTACCATGACCAAGATCTGTCATTGATGATATTCCCTTGTGTTGGCAAAGGGTTGAGATTTTGTCATCTATCATTGGTCGGGGTTATTTTGGAAATGTAAATGATCAATATCTAATATTTAAGACATTTTCCAGAAAATCTATGTAGAACCTTGAATAAAAATCTCAAAAATCTTACTTCTTCAAATTGAAAAGCTCAGAATGTTGTATGGTGTTTCATACAGACCTTAGAGCATATATTAATTAAACAGAGCTCCAGATAAGCTGCGTATCTGCGTAAAATACGCATTAGAAATTCAGAAATACGCAGTAAAATAAAATCCAAGCGTATCAAATACGCAACGAACATTACAGATACGCTACAAAAATAAAACTTGTGCGTATCATCAAAATATTGTGAAGTAACCCCGCGTATTTGATTAGCAAATCAGCACTTTATTTTGAAATTATAAACAGGCATTCCGTCAACCTTGCCAAACTCCACGATGACAGTTACATCATGATCATTTGCCATCACACTTTCTTGTGGAAGTATCGTGGTATTTTTGAGTCCTATAAAGCTCTCGAACCCACACGACAACAGTTTGCAGGGACTAGATGAATAGTTTTTAAATATTTACCTTAAATACCCACATGTGTAAAAACTAGTGGGTAACAGAAATTTGAATACCCAGATAGAATTACCGATACCCAATGATTTTAAAATGAATGGGTAAAATACCCACAACACCAAAAGCATCTGGAGCTATGATTAAAACAGTCACCAATACTGAGCAGCTGTTACTTATCCCCATTCTTATTCATTTCTAGGACTTGAGGTTCGTTTAATACTCATGTGTTCCCTTGTAGAATGATTGTTAACCTTATACCCTTTACTGGACTATGGGTTAGTCTATGGGTCGTGTATTAATGATGAGAGCATTTATGTGAAGAAGATTCAATGTATGACTGAACATTTAAACAGTATGTTTATCAAACATCTACTTTGGACACTTCCAGTCCATCAAAATTAAAAATGCAGGGTAATTGATAATTGGTGGAATATAATAAATAAAACAATCAATTGTAGCTTAAACTTCAAATTTTATCAGATTCAGTTCATCATTTTCTCTGAGCTAAACATTTGATGTTGGTGTAACTTATTGCATTTATGAGTTGTAAAATTTTCTGTTGATAAGCTGCTTTAAAAAGAATATTTTAATATAAAAAAAACACACAAAAAAACACTGTAAAACAAAACTATCGTACATAATATTTGCCTATTCTCTTTAGGTGACATTGTCACATTTCTAAGGTCATTGGGGGCACAGGTGGCCCAGCCTTCTATGACAAGAGTTGCGTCCCTTGGGCATGCCAGAAACCTATGATTGTGGGTTTGAATCCCGGTTCTCACTGATTATGTTTCTAGGTTTGTCAGCACCATACCAGTGCTTGTGGGTTTCACCGAGGTGGTTAACGTCTGAGGCCTGCATCACTTCGGGCTTTCCTCCCACATTAAGCTGACACACCGTGATATAACTGGAATACTGTTAAAAGCGGCGTTAACCCAACTCACTCACTCACTCTAAGGTCATTGGATTGTTTGAACAATCTATATTATTTTTTTTTCATAGAAAATTTATTAGGAGTACATTTTAAGACAAATTGTCTATCACTTATTGACATAGATAAAAACAATTTGTTCACCTACAAATTCTAATGGTCATAAATATAAAAAGATGACTCAAATATCCCCGTAATTTAATTACTATCCTTGACCAAGCCACCATAATAATACAAGCTGCATGATACATAGCTCAGGTGCAATGTTATGGATGAAAGTAAAGCCTGATTTCAACTGATGAAAATGGAACAAGCACTGGTTTAAGGCAAGATTTGTACCACGAAACTTGATTAGGATGGAGATATGAAACGTTTGAAAACTTTTTCCAACTTCTCTAAATATAGATTCACCTATAATTACAACAAAAGAAGCAGAAGCCACATAGATATCCATCTGTTTCGCTTCTAAAATCCTACCAAAGACCATGTTATTATCTTAACATATATATTCAAATGAAGACTTGTCCCCAACTCTTTCTAAAGCCTTGTCCTCAGAATGACATGACACAACAATGGCTCAAGCTTATACCAATATGCTGCAACAATTTCAATATTTTCTCAAAACACAACACAGATAAATGTGAAGAAATTGAGTTCTTTGTGAATGAAGGCTATGTTAGGCGAGTTGACGGACCACGACTACATTCATTGTCAGTTTGGAGTGCAAGGGCAAAGCAGATAAATAAACCCCCAAGATGGAGGTCGACCTTCCCTGCTTGCCATCTGACGGGGAGAGTTGAAGGAGGGAGCCATTACGACCTCCCTTGGAGAACTCTCAACACTCCAGTGGACAAATTCAATAGTCTTTTTAACAGATATTCCTAAATACAGACACTTAAATTATTAATCATATCTTTAACAGTTTTTAAATGTTTTGTGAGATTGTGGCGCTTGGTGATGTATATCTATTGGTATTTGCCAATTACAAGAGAAAGATAATTCCTGATTACCTGGTGATATAAAGTTTTAAACAATAACCTTTTTAACGTTGTTTTTTAAATTTTGACGGATCTCTTTCTAATCATATTCTGCCATGCAAGTGTTATCAGTAGATAAGAATTGCATATTGATCTTTTTCTCAGTCAACTATGACTATCTAGATTGATACAAAACAAATAAAAACTTTAAAAACATATTTGCAAAATATTTAACATTTGACCAAATTAAAACTGACAACGATTTTTGTGATTTAGCTTAGCAGTGTTGTTGTCGTGGAAACTCACCTGAGCCAATGGCAGACTATCATCACTATCCTCACTACTCTCTCTACTTGGGGACGATGTTGAGTTTGAACCAGGTGGTGAAGCTCCTTGTACAGCTGTCTGAAAACCGAGTTGAGTGGCCATTTGTGTCTGGCTGATGGTTGACAGTGACTGGTGGCTTGAGATTGGGCCTCTGTTGGGTATCACATCATGAAACATCGTCCCCGTGGAGGCCGCGATGGAGGCGAAGATGTTGTCGGCATTGGCGGCACTTGCCATAACACTGTTAGTGACGTTGATATCGGGAACGTCAAAGTTCTGAGGTGGGAATTTCGGAGCAATGGGATGCGGACCTCGCATCGACGTTAACGGTGCACAGTCTGCAGTTTGCATAGTCGGCGCCACTGTCAGTGCTGGGTTCAAACCCAGATCCAAGTTGGACAACATCTGATGGGAGAACGGCGGCTGGGAGGTGTTCCCAGAATTCCCTGATTCTTGGTCGGAAGGAAGTGGCAACACTGGGAGGTCAAAGTCCTCATCCCCGAAACTGGGTGTATGGAAAGTCTGCAAAATAATTAGAGACGTGAGCAATTGTAATAAACAATCGGCATTGTGTTCTTACATGCAGCCAACACCTAACAAAACAATTGGTCGCCAACACTGACAACCATCAACACTGCAACCATCTTGTGTACGTCTTCATTGTCTAAGGGGGCACGGTGGCCCAGCCGTCTAAGACGCCGCGATTCGCTGTGCAGAGTTGCGTCCCTTGAGCACGCCAGAAACCTATCATTGTGGGTTTGAATCCTGGTTCGCCCCGATTATGTTTCTAGGTTTGTCAGCACCATACCCGTGCTCGTGTGTTTCACCGAAGTGGTAAACGTCTAAGACCTGCATCACTTCGGATTTTCCTCCCACATTAAATTGACATGCCACGATATAACTGGAATACTGTTTAAAATAGGGCGTTAAACCCAACTCACTCACTCACTCATTGTCTAAATTGGGTATAATGCATCAGACATTCATAAACTCAGGAAAGGTTTAATTAATATACATAAGGATAGTCTTAAGTTTGAATGCTCTGTTTTTGAGGATGAAGAAGTTCTTGCACTGTCCCCAATATGATGATATACACTCTACATGTTTTTCTTCTAATATGATTAACTGTCACGACAAGATCCATTTGTTTATCAAATTAAAAGAAAACAATATCTCTGCTTGCATATCTGTTCATATGTTAAAGATCCATGTAAATGTCGAACATTAAATCACATTAAGTTCAGCTCACATAACCAGTACATATATGTACATTACGTAAGTAAATGTATTTGTTTCATTGATCTGCTTGCAAAGAGACCAACCAAAGATTGCCATTGTCGTTGTCACAATGTTGTTGGCATCCTTACATTAAGCTTGGCTGCCTGCCATTTCCATTTCATTTTTTGCTACTTTATTTCTTGTTGCACATGTGTTTTTGAATGTTTTTCTCATCAAAATGTTTGACTCACATCTGTCATGCAGAACTTTTTTAATCAATTCACCAATATTTTCTAAAAAAATTGCAATCAATAACATAAATACAGGCAAGCTACAGTAATGAATCATTCGTTTTACTTTTAGTTAAATGGTGACAGCCTCCTTGAATTCCCAAACAAGTCTGAATAAAACTAATAAAAGGTAAAAAAAAGTCAAACCCAAAATGAGTCATGGATAAAAAAAAAAGTCAAGGTAAATTATTTGAAAAATATATAAATTAGTTCAAAATGTCTTTATAGATCCATAACAGAAAATGAAAAACTAATTAATGACATCTGTGATCTTTTTATCAATAAAACTCATGACACAGATACCAAATATCGACGAAAGAGAGCAGTGCACATCGCTATAGCAACATCTCTCTAGAAAAAACACTGGATACTTGAAAATAATTGAGATACTTATTCTAATAAATAGCATTATGACAAAAACATCTAAACAAAATAACGCAAGAGTTTCATTGTCCACGTTTGTCATGTTAGCAGAATCCACCATTAATCCTCGAGCAGGTTTCCAAGCATATCGCACAGAGGATCTAACATATTAAAATGCCATAAAGTTTTATGTCTAAAAATCAATACCTTTTCACAATGGTCTTTGATTAATCTTAATTACATGTCCGATCATAAAAGGCAATGTCTCCTTTGTGCTGTAGCCAATCGATACAATAACAGAGGGAATCTTATTCAATTAATATGAATATTATGGTTCAACTCATGCTCCATTTACAAAATGTTATTGTGATTTATTACATCCTGAAAATTGCTAGAAATTAAAAAAGCCTATCAAGATGGCAAAATAAAACTTTTGCGCAATTTTTATGCCAAAATCTGATGAAACTGAGTGATAAATTGTGCCGGTAATAACACGCCTTTTGAAAGCCATGCTACCTGACGAGATTTTTACAACCAGTGATTAATGAAGCGCTCTTTGCTTGTCATTCGTCACTTTCTCTAAATTAACATCATCAAAGTGTTTCCTTTCAACGAGCCTGACTAACCCTCTCAGAGGGTAGTACGACATATCCGGGAACAAAAGCCGTATCTCATCAACGAGAGATTGGTTGTCGACAAGTCATTCAAATCTAACCAACCATTAAAATCATCATTTCTGGCTGCTGGTTACTGATCATGCTAAAACCAAAATCAAAACATTTCTTGCCCAATTATTGTGATGTGCAAATAGATCAGAGAAATGACAAAATACTGTCCTGCAAGAAAGGCGGCCAGCTTCAACAGAGGACTGGATTCAGTGATGATGTTGTGAATCGGATAAATAGCTACTGCCAGAGTTGTGTAATGAACTTCACAAGTTGATGACATCAAAATGTTGACTGATGAAGATGATGTAAGATGGGGACAATGGGACTCTGGAGCAACGCTGAGACTATACAAAGACAATTTTTATGGTGAGTGAGTGAGTGAGTTGTGTTTAACGCCATTTTTAACAGTATTCCAGTTATATCATGGCGTGTCAGCTTAATGTGGGAGGAAAGCCCGAAGTGATGCAGGTCTCAGACGTTTACCACTTCGGTGAAACCCACGATCACGGGTATGGTGCTGACAAACCTAGAAACATAATTGGGGCGAACCGGGATTCGAACCCACAATGATAGGTTTCTGGCGTGCCCAAGGGACGCAACTCTGCACAGCGCATCGTAGCACCTTAGACGACTGGGCCGCCCGTGCCCCCCAATTTTTATTGAGAGCGTACACAAAGGAATGACCTGCACAAATATGTCAATTTCTTTCTGCAAGCCTTCCAAAGGGCTTTTCAATTCTATCTCATGACTCGTCAAAAAGAATCAGAACTGGTGCAAAATAAATTGCTATCATGAAAATAACATTAATATTATTAATATTTTAACCTTTAAATTAATGTCCATTGTAATCACCATCTCCAAATAAATGTGTATTTTATCGTTTGTCATTTACGCTGACTGTCCCCTGACTATTGACTCCTATCTCCAGCCCTCCATTGAATGTGGACCAGTATCCGAAGCCCCTCCCGACACTGTGGACCACCACCCCAACCCTTCCTGACACTGTGGACCACCACCCCAACCCTTCCTGACACTGTTGACCACTACCCCCAAACTCTCCACTGACTGTGAACCACCACCCCAGCCAATAATAAATCACAGGCCCCTTTATCAATTGAAAATATTGAACATCAAAAGAAGAACAAGTATAATCTTTCATGCCTCACATCTGACATCTGGAAAAGTTAACAAAGCACCATTAGATTCTAAAATCAAGATTAATGCATTGAAAAACACATCCTTTAACAAACAAGCGCAATTAATTGTAATTATCTCCTAATTAAAGAGCATAACCAAAAATAATACATCTGTTCAAAGTTTTAATCAGCAAATGTATGGCCATTCTGCTGATGTGTTGATGAGAGGTACCAATGCAAGCACTACATCATTCCGCCACAGATGGAACAATTAGCGGCTGTCAATATATCAACGCCATGTTAACACCAGATGGTCATATCCCCACCTTGCATGTTATTGGTCAATTACTGCCAAATGTACAGCGCTGACAGAATATCAAATGAATACGGAGGTGGCATGACCGTTGTAAAACTGCACTCACTGATAATGGCTTAAGTAGTATCCATAGTACCCGAGAATTGTGGGAAATAAGCTTTGCCCCAAGAACCAACCGACAATATACCGTGACATATAAACCAATGTCTCTAGAAAGGCATATTTTTATCAATATTAGCATCAAATTCCATGTATTCTACTCAAAACAAGTCAAGGAACACCCACAATTGGAATGCTGTGTGCTGCACTTATAACTCGCCATGACAGATTAACTATGGTCATATTAAAAAATCAGGGGTTCATTAACTTATGTAACTTTACCTTTATCGTATGGTGAGGTGAGGTGAATGGGATTTAATGTCGCGTCCAAGATTATTGCACTTATATAGCAACGTGCATGCACGTGTGTGGCTGCTTGTACGAGTCCGGACTGATGCCGATTTATAGTGCCAGCACACTGAGATACCATGCCACAATTTAACATGAATACCCCACTCAGACACAGCATACTGACTCCAAGCCAACCAGTCCTTGTTTTAGCCTTTAATGCCGAGCGCCAGACAGGGTAACAACAAGTAGCATCTTTTAAAGTCTTTTGGTATTACGCGGCCGGGGATCGAACCCCGGACCTTCCGCTCTCCGGGCGGACGCTCTACCACTAGACCACGGAGGCGGTCCTTTATCGTATGGATCATTATCATGCTGTAATGTTGTATTCACTTTCACTGCTTCATCACTGATGCTACGAAGCAAAATAATTCTGTTGAAGCCATGGTGACAATCCAACTTATAAGTTCCAAGCTCATGTGGAATCAGTAACTTTATTTGGGGTCAAAATAACTACCGATAGTCCTTCTAGATTTCCATTCATGAACCTGAGGACTGACTGAAAGGTCATGTCATGACCCTAACCCAATTTGAAAATGTTCTCAAAAAGCGTGTACCAGATTTTCCACTTGACAATGGTACATGCGTTTGGAATTCCAATTTCGGCATTTACGTTTAAAAACACAAATTTGACATCAAAATGTCTCAACCATCTTGACAGAATTTCCTGGCAGTGACAGACCTGTACTAGCATGTGAAACATTCAAGCCACTGTTTCCCAGTTTGACACATGTCAGTCAAAATAAGAGCCAATTCCAGAAAATTGATTTTCTTAGCAAAACATTGTTACATTGATTTAATCCCTCCATGAGGGCCAACAGACCAGACACAGACACCAATGTCTCAGTTCCTCACAACCGTGGAAACACCATCAAAGCCAGATACAGAGAGCACTGTGAGCCTCCTTTTCAGATTCTTAGTGAAAGCATATGTCCTTTTATATAGGAGTCTGTGCTATTTTGGTACATAGATGTCCCATTCTGTTGTGTTAAGTCAGGCTCTGCGAGGTGAGGTGAGGTGAAATGGGGTTTAACGTCGCGTCCAAGATTATTGCACTTATAATAGGGACATGCATGCATGGCTG